TTAACAACTCTCTCACTTAGCAACAGAAATTTTGGACTCAGTTGTGGTCATAAATCGAGGATTACCTGAGGTAAAACTTCGATCCTCCCACCTTGCATTCTTGGAAGAGTGTTGGTGCCAATGTGTTTGTATGTATCATGCATTGTTTTCACTATGGGACACTTTTTAAAATCTATTTTAACTTTTGCGTTTACAAAATCCTGCTATAAATCTTCCTACTAAACAATGATAAATCTCCTGGCTGAGAATGTTTTGTCTTCACTGGATAAAAATCTTGGCTGCCTGGCTATTGAGAAATACTCTTTTAAACAACTTTTCCAGTGTTACAACTTGTAGAAGGAAGGAAACCCTTACAACAATTTTTCCCCCGACTTCTGGCGATGGGGATAATCTAAGAATAAAATCTGTTTGTTCACAAGGATTACTGCCAATGGGAAAGTCGTTACTGACAAAGTCTGAAACGACAATCCTGATGTTGTGTTATCAGCCAAGTCACAACAAGAGTCGGGGTAGAAGACATATTTCCCATCTGAAAGGAAATTCCAACTTCTCAGTGTCGTAAATTACTGTGAGTTGAGACATAAACAAACAGGACTTGTGTAATTTTATTAAAATTCTAGAATTTGACTTTTGAGATTCCTGGCAGGGCTAACTGCTTCGTTTTTTGTCCGTCCAAATTTTAAAGGATGCCTATTTAATTTTAGTTTAATTTCATTTAGATTATTTTCATCTTGCCTTTATTATTTTGATAAATAAGCTTCCTTTATATTATCCTTTCATTGATGGAGGGCTCTCAACAAGAATTTATAGCAGCTAAGAGTTCTTTTTCCTCAGCATCGAAAGAGAAATTTGAAGATGATGCAGACTGCCAACAGTTTTTCAGGAACTGGGGAGTGACTATTTTATTATTGGGGAATAATTCTTATGTTTCTGGTAGTTTTTTTAAAATAATCAGATGGTGTTTGGTTTTTACTGGAAGATGACTGTTGATCAGAATGGGCTACGATCAGACGTGGGCTTCACATACTGTAACAAACCGGTTCGGCCAGAACGGGAAATGTGTTACCGGTTCTGTGGGTGTGGCTTGGTGGGCGTGGCATGGCTTTGGGGGTGTGGCTTGGTGGGCATGGCAGGGGAAGGATACTGTAAAATCTCAATTTCATCCCCAATCCAGGGGAAGGTTACTGCAAAATCCCCATTTCCTCCTGATTAGCTGGGACTTTGGAGGCAGAGAATAGATGGGGGTGGGGCCAGTCAGAATTTTTACTACTGTTTCTCCAGAACTGGTCAGAACCTGTTGAAACCCACCTCTGCTGCGCGTGCCATCCGCACATCTGTACGGCATCACAGATCACGGCAATTCACTCATGCGTGCCGTCCATGCATATGTACGACATCAAACAACATGGCAACTCGCACACTTGCGCCATCCATGCATTCGTGCGATGTCAAAAACACAGCGATATAGGATGGAATTGCGCCTGGGCAGGTGAGTGGGCCCATCTGCAGGTCACTACTACTGGTTCGCTTGAACCGGCTGAATCCCACCACTGGTTATGATGGGCTAGCTGGACAAATAGATTAACTTCCTATTTTACAGTAACTGACTGAGGGGTATGTGTGTGTAGGTGTGTGTGTCAGTGGTGAAATCCAATTTTTTTTACTACTGGTTCTGTGGGCGTAGCTTGGTGGGTGTGGTGTGGCTTGGTGGGTGTGGTGTGGTTTGGTGGGCGCGTGGCAGGGGAAGGATATTGCAAAATCCACATTCCCACCCCACTCCTGGGGGAAGGATATTGCAAAATCCCCATTCCTTCCCCACTCCTAGGGAAGGATATTGCAAAATCCCCAATCCCACCCCACTCCTGGGGAAGGATATTGCAAAATCCCCATTCCCTCCCCACTCCTGGGGAAGGATATTGCAAAATCCACATTCCTTCCCTACTCCTGGGGGAAGGATATTGCAAAATCCCCATTCCCACCCTACTCCTGGGGAAGGATATTGCAAAATCCCCATTCCCACCCCACACCTGGAGAAGGATATTGCAAAATCCCCATTCCCTCCCCACTCCTGGGGAAGGATATTGCAAAATCCCCATTCCCATCCCACTCCAGGGGAAGGATATTGCAAAATCCCCATTCCCACCCCAGTCCTGGGGGAAGTATATTGCAAAATCCCCATTCCCTCCCCACTCCTGGGGGAAGGATATAGCAAAATCCCCATTCCCTCCCTACTCTGGGGCCATCCAGAGGTGGTATTTGCCGGTTCTCCGAACTGCTCAAAATTTCCGCTACCGGTTCTCCAGAACCTGTCAGAACCTTCTGGATTTCATCCCTGGTGTGTGTGTTTTGATATGCTTAAACTGGTTTTTGAATAATAATAATAAATAATAAACTAAACTATCCCTGAGCTGCTCATTGAATTAATGAAGAAAGGTCTCTTCCCATCATTGATTTGAACCCGCCATGTTTTCCTAGGAAATAGAAACCTAACTTTCTGGAATTATTTACAAATTTTGCCCAGCCTTCTGTAACACGATTGAATAATTGCGCATATAATTTTAATAGCTGCTCAGTAGCCATCTCCTTGGTTTCAGCCCACTGATTTTCCCTCAATTCATACCAAGTGTCACCAGTCCCACGTTGCAAAATATTTCATGTCATTCGGTTTTTTAAAAAAAATTTGGAACAATTCGTAAAATACGAAGGAAGATGTAAATACAAAGGAAGCAATTATATTATAAAGATACTGCTGCCATCTAGTGTTTTAAATACTGCTATAGCCACCATGGACCTTTTTACCTGCAAATTGAACATATTGTAGAATATAGAATAACAGAATTCGGAAGGGACCTTGGAGGTCATCTAGTCCGATCCCCAGCTTGCGCAGGAGATCCTATACCATTTCAGACAAATGCTGTCCACTCTCTTCTTAAAAGCCTTCAATGATGGAGCAGAAGCACCCACAACTTCTGAAGGCAAGTCGTTCCATTGGTTAATTGTTCTCGCTGTTAGGAAGTTACTCCTTAGTTCTAGGTTGCTTCTCCCCTTCGTTAGTTTTATTCAACTCCTAATAATAACTGTGAGGCCAATGCTATTTATTCCCATCAGGCACTTTATGTCCCAAGGTAATGCAACTGATTTCGCGGAGTCATGCAAGCGATAAGATGTGCTGCGTGAATGGCATTACTTTGAGTGGGTGTCAAACTATTCTAAAGGTCTGTCGAAGTAAATCGCCTTTGGATCTGGTTTAGATCCAAACTAATTGATGCTAGACACCAAAATGGATGCAGACTTGATCTGCTGGATACTTAGCTGACCCGCATTCCTGTTCTGTTTGCTGTTAAAATTGAGCAGGTATGAACACCGGAGTTTGTGATAGGTTTTCATTATTTGTGGCTCTACCTATCTATCAGATAGATAGATAGATAGATAGATAGATAGATAGATAGATAGATAGATAGATAGATATCTACCTACCCACCCACCCAACCTTCCCACGCATACATCCTCCTTCCTTCCTTCCTTCCTTCCTTCCTTCCTTCCTTCCTTCCTTCCTTCCTGTCCGTCCATCCATCCATCTTCCTTCCCTCCCTCCCTCCCTCCCTCCTTCCTTCCTTGCTTGCTTCCTGTCCATCCATCCATCCATCCATCCATCCATCCATCCATCCATCCATCCATCCACCTACAGTACCTACCTACCTACCTACCTATCATCTGTCTATCTTCCTTCCTTCCTTCATTTCTATTATCCATCTATCATCCATCTATTATCCATCTATCATCTATCTATCTATGTAGCTATGTATGTATGTAAGTATGTATGTATGTCTGTCTGTCTGTCTATCTATCTATCTATCTATCTATCTATCTATCTATCTATCTATTATTTATTTTTTTTTTGCCTTAATTTATATGTCGCCCTTCTCCGGAGACTCAGGGCGGCTTACAATGCGTTAAGCAATAGCCTTCATACTTTTGTATATTTATACAAAGTCAGTTTATTGCCCCCACAATCTGGGTCCTCATTTCACCTACCTTTGAAAGGATGGAAGGCTGAGTCAACTTTGAGCCTGGTGAGATTTGAACTTGCAGTAATTGCAAGCAGCAGATGTTAATCTGTTAATAACAGTGCTTTAGTCCACTGTACTACAGGCTCTATCTATCTCTATCTATCTATCTATCTATCTATCATCTATCTATCTATCTATCTATCTATCTATCTATCTATCTATTTACTATCTATCTTCTCTATCATCTCTCTCTCTCTCTATCTATCTATCTATCTATCTATCCATCCATCCATCCATTATCTATCCAACCAACCATCCATCCATCTATCTATCTATCTATCTATCTATCTATCTATCTATCTATCTATCATCTATCTTCTCTATCATCTCTCTTTCTATCTATCTATCTATCCATCATCCATTCATCTATCCACCAACCAACCATCCATCCATCCATCCATCCATCCATCCATCTATCTATCTATCTATCTATCTATCTATCTATCTATCTATCTACTATCTATGTTCTCTATCATCTCTCTATCTATCTATCTATCTATCTATCTATCTATCTACTATCTATGTTCTCTATCATCTCTCTTTTATCTATCTATTATCTATCTATCTATCTATCCAAAACCATCCATCCATCCATCCATCCATCTACTATCTATCTTCTCTATCATCTCTCTTTCCTTCTATCTATTTATCTATCTATCTATCTATCTATCTATCTATCTATCTATCTATCTATCTATCTATCTATCATCTACTTGACGTATGCCACCCATCTTGCTAAGAAGCGAGTCTGCTGGCTTACAAACCTTGAAATCCAGTAAGACTTTAAAACAATAAAAGCTTGTAAAACATTAAAACAATGAATAATAATAATAATGTTAACAAGCATAAGCTTATAAAACATTTTTATTCTAAATTTATTAGCTAATCAACTCCAGGAGACTCTGAAAACTGGAGCATAAAAATGGGGAAAAAACAATCAAAAAAAATCTAAAAACATTAAATCAGACAAGCAGCCCAGACTAAAATGATCCAATGAACAACAGAATCAACACAAACACAACGATCAAATTTTGTTCAGGCAAGTGTGTGTGTACGTTCGCACACTGAGAATTTGTATCATTGTAATATGTGGAATAGGTAGTGTTGCTATAACTTCCAAGCCAATTAAAAATTGAACTGTGGTTTATGACCAAAACAACTTCTATCTAGCTGCTTAAGATGTTTGAGTATATTAAAGCAACAGCCACACCATTTTAATCTTATTTAGCTTTAAATTAATATGTGCAAAAAAGGATTACCCTAGTTTTAGTAAATTTGGAGGGGAATGTTAAACAATGCTCTGTGTATGCACACCTGGAACCTTACAGAGAAGAAAATTGTATGTCTGTACATGCACAGGTTTGAGCTTAATTCAAAATGGTTTAGAAGTGCTTTGCCTACTATTGAAGTATGTTTGAAGTACCTCTTGTGAACCAGGAAAGTAGCTACCTGATTTGACCCAACTGCTTTAAGAATCTTAAAATAAACTTCTGGGGAGGGGCAAGTTGCGAGGTGTCTCTTTCAAATCAATTTGCACCCTTTAATACTGTTCCTTATAATTTCCTGCTCGGGCGGAACAAAACCGTGACTTGAAACATAGACTCATAAAATTGGCTTGAGCAAGACAGTTGGTAAGTGAATTTTGTCCCATTTTATGACCTTTCTTGCCATGCCACTGTGGTTAAGTGAAACCTCACAGTTGTTCAGTGAGTAACACGGTTGTTAAGTGAATCTAGCTTCCCCATTGATTTGGGTTGTCAAGAAAGTCACAAAAGGGGATGACGTCACTGCAACCGTCATAAATATGAACTAGTTGCCAAGCATCCAAATTTTGATCACGGGCACATGGGGATACTGCAATGGTCATAAGCAGAGCCGGTTCAGACCGGTTTGAGCGAATCGGTAGTGGAAACTGCGGATGGGCCTATCTCATAGTGAAAACAATGCATGATACATACGAGCACATAGGCACCAACAATCTTGCAGTGATTCACTTAACGGTGGGGGCAAGAAAGGTCGTACAGTGAGCCAAAACTCACTTAACAACTCTCTCACTTAGCAACAGAAATTTTGGACTCAGTTGTGGTCATAAATCGAGGATTACCTGAGGTAAAACTTAGATCCTCACAACCTGCATTCTTGTAAGATAGTTGGTGCCGATGTGCTCGTTATTGTTAAGTTATAAACACGGTTGTTAAGTGAATCAGGCTTTCCCCATCAACTTTACTTGTCAGAAGATCACAAAAGGGTATCACTTGATCCCGGGACCATGGAACCGTCATAAATATGAGTCGCTTGCCAAGGACTAACTGTATATTCTTAGAATGAGGCTCTGAATTTAAAGAGACGTGCTTTGGAATAAATGGGAGTAAGATTTACCTCAGAACACCGTCTACTAAGTACAGCTAGTCCTCCACATACAACAATTCATTTAGTGACCGTTCGAAGTTACAATGGCACTGGAAAAAAGTGACTCATGACCGTTTTTCCACACTTACGATCATTGCAGCATCCCCATGGTCACGTGATCAAACTCCAGCTGTTTGACAACTGACTCGTATTTATGATGTGATCCCCTTTTGCGGCCTTCTGACAAGCAAAATCAATGGGGAAGCCGGATTCACTTAACAACCGTGTGACTAACTTAAGAACTGCAGTGATTCACTTAACAACGGTGGCAGGAAAGGTCATGAAAATTCACTCAACAAATGTCTTGCTTAGCAACAGAACCGTTGGGCTCCTTTGTGGTCGTACATCGAGGACTACCTGTATACAGTATATACTGTACCACCTTTGCGTTATAATAACTACGTAGCTTATCTAATGCTCATCATTATTACAAACCATTTACAGACTGAACAAATTCAGCGATTTCCCGCAAGATGTCGTCTTCTTGGAATCTAACTTTTACAAATAGCATATCTGTTGGATTCCTCAGCGATCTCATTTTTAATAGCTATAACTTGGTCCTCCAGTTGCTTCAGCTGATCAGCTTTCTCCTGTTTAATCTGGTTCAGATCTTGTATCTTCTTTTCCAGATCTAAAAATAACCAAAGCAATGCATGTAAACAGCGGTAAACTGATTATCAGAGTTGGAAGGGACCTTGTAGATCATCTAGTCCAACCCCCACGCCCAAATAGGAGACCTTACACCATTTCTGACAGATGGCAGTCCAGTCTCTTCTTGAAAGCTTCCAGTGATGAAGCTCCCACAACTTCTGAAGGCAACAATCAAATGGGTTGATTGTTCTCACTGTCAGAAAATTTCTCCTTATTTCTAGGTTGACTCTCTCCTTGATCAGTTTCCATCCATTATTCCTTGTCTGGCCTTCAGGTGCTTTGGAGAATAGCTTGACCCCCCCTTCCTCTCTGTGGCAGCTCCTCAAATATTGGAAGACTGCTATCATGTCTCCCCTGGTCCTTCTCATCACTAGACTAGCCAGGCCCAGTTCCTGCAACCGTTCATTGTATGTTTTAGCCTCCAGTCCCCTAATTATTTTAGTTGCTCTTCTCTGCATTCTTTCTAGAGTCTCAACATCTTTTTTATACTGGAGATAGATGATGTCGTATCCAGAGGTGGGTTTCAGCAGGTTCTAGAGAACTGGTAGCAGAAATTTTGAGTAGTTCGGAGAACCGGTAGTAAAAATTCTGACTGGCCCCGCCCCCATCTATTCTCTGACTAGCATGCGTGTGTGGGGAAAACCTTTACCTTTATCTATGTGCCTACAAGGTGTCTAAATTACCTGTGATTCTTTTCGCTTTCTCTGCAGTCTCATTAGCCAATTCTTCTGCCTCTTTTTTCAACCAGTTGAGTTTCTCCAAGATTTCTAATGAAAATCCGGTGGTCAGGAGTTTGTCTTGCAAGTTACTGTATTCATGTTCAAGATTAGCAAGTTCCTAAAAACACAAGGAACGCAGTATGTATGAATGCATCCAAATTTTGATCATGTAACCGTGTTGTGGCCCGCCAGTGGCCAGTGGAGCTGGCAGCAGATTCGGAGAGTGAGGAAGTTGGGGAAGAACATGGACCAGTCCTGGAGTCTGGGGAGGGCTCTGATGAGGGCTCTGCGTCAGAGGCAGAGAGAGAGCCAGGGCCGTATGCCAGTTATGAGCTGCCTTTGCAGTCAGACATCAGTGAGGCAGACAAACAGCTGGAGCCTGTTCCCAGTGTGCCCATGCACAGAGTTGCCAGATGAAAGGAACAGCTAAAGAACAAGGGTCGACTTGGGAGTAAGGCCACAGTTGGACGATGAATGGCCCCTCCCAGAGGGAATAAAAGAGGAGCGAAAGGGGAGTGGAGTTTGCAGGAGACAATTATTTATTTATTTATTTATTTATTTATTTATTTATTTATTTATTTATTTTTAAATTTATATACCGCCCTTCTCCCTGAGGACTCAGGGCGGTGTACAGCCAGAATTAAAAAACATGAAATACAAATATTAAAAAACAATTAAAATATATATAAATTTGGCCCAAAATTAAAAATACAAACCAATTAAAACATTTAAAATTAGTTCATTACTGCATTCTTGCCAAGTATTGTGGAGTCTGAAAGATATCGGCCTGGACGCTCTCCAAGCCTGATAAAGGTCGGTAATTGTGAACTATCTTGAAAGACTGCGGGAGAGGAAAGACTTTGCTGGAGAGGAATTCACTGTAAATTAAATAAAAGGGGTTATTCGGAACGAGGACTCGGTTTCATGCTGCTGGGGAAGCTTAGGTCAGAACAGACCGTAGGGAATTCGACAGTGGTTGGAAGTGTGAAAAATGGTCATAACTCCCATTTTTCAGGGGGGGGGATAAACAAGGGCATTTAAAATGGCATTTTACCTTATTACTAGCTGTTGCTTGAGTTTGGGCTTCTTCTGCCTTTGATCTTGCATCTGTGGCTTGGATTCTGTTCCTCTCCATTTTGGTCTTCAAGGAACTTATTTCATCTGCCAGCTTGGACTGTTTTCCTGGAAAAGCTTGCAACTCCGTGTCAGCCTTCTTCATTTGGTTCTCAGCCTGCGCCCCGAGAAACATAACTAGTAAAAAGGGTTGCCACTGATTATTAGAAGACAATGAATGAAAAAGACAAGAGAATATTAAAAAAATTACCGTATTTTTCGGAGCATAGGACTCACTGGAGTATAAGACGCAGCTTAGTTTTTGGGGAGGAAAATGGGAAAAAAAATTCTGCCTACCAGGTATTCATCTGGCTAGACTCCTTAGCCTGGTCACCTTCAGCACATTAGTTCGCTCGCTGGTTTTGAGGTTGGGGCTGGTTGGGGCTAAAAAACAGCTTCTAAAGCACAGCTGATCATCAGAGGGAGCAGCAATTGAAAAGCAGGCAAAGTACGGAAGATGCGTTGGGGCTGAAAAACAGCTTCTAAAGCACAGCTGATCGTCGGAGGGAGCAGCAATTAGAAAAGCAGGCAAAGCACGGAAGATGCGTTGGGGCAGAAAAACAGCTTCTAAAGCACAGCTGATCATCAGAGGGAGCAGCAATTAGAAAAGCAGGCAAAGTACGGAAGATGCGTTGGGGCTGAAAAACAGCTTCTAAAGCACAGCTGATCGTCGGAGGAGCAGCAATTAGAAAAGCAGGCAAAGCACGGAAGATGCGTTGGGGCTGAAAAACAGCTTCAAAAGCACAGCTGATCGTCGGAGGGAGCTCCAGTGCTTAAAGCAGGTAAAGCATGGAAGGGGTAAGAGAAGGCAGCAGCTGTTCCGGGTAGCCATTTTGGACACCGTGCGTTGCGTTTTCAGCCTCCAAACACGTTGTGTTTTCTGGCAGCAATGGGTGGCGATGTGCTTTGCCAATCCCTGCAGCCTTGAAGGGCTCTCAAATGGAGCGTTTGGAGGCTGAAAACACAAGCCATTGTCAGTGGCAATCTCTGCAGCCAGGAAGAGGACACGTGGAGGCCGAAGGGTGGGGGCAAGCAGGTGGGCAGGGTTACATTCAGAGTATAAGACGCACCCAAATTTTCAGCCTCTTTTTTGGAGGGAAAAAAGTGTGTCTTATACTCCAAAACATATGGTAAATATCACATGTTCCCATGGTGTGGACTGGTGGGGAATAGTGGGGAATGGAAGGATTCAGTCAGAGCTGAAGAAGCTTCTTGGATGAGAAGCGAAACGTCTTCAAAAGAAAAACCAGAAAGTCCAATTGCCTCTTGAAAAAAAACACCTTTGGGACAACTATGACCTGGATGACTGAGAATCTCCATAGCTAAATATCACATGCTTTCATTTACAATCTTTGAGTGGGCTATGAGGATACCTCTGAAATATTGGTTATGGTTTCTTCTATTTTCTCGTTGAAAGTTGCCAAGGCATCTTGGGCTTTTCTCTGAGTATTTTCTACTTCTTTCAGGTGGGTTATAATTTTGTCAGATGCGGTGAGAGCTTTCGTTTTACCCCTGAGTTTAAAAAAAAAAAGAGAGAGACCTTGAAAGTCGCATGCTAGGACTATTGATTGGAAGCAGAATACAATAATTGGAGAAATTAAGAGAACCCAACGAAACAAACCAAATGAATCTTTATTGCAAATAATTTTTTTAAAAAATTGATTTATATGCCGCCCTTCTCTGGAGACTCAGGGCGGCTTACAATGCGTTAAGCAATAGCCTTCATACTTTTGTATATTTATACAAAGTCAGCTTATTGCCCCCACAATATGGGTCCTCATTTTACTTACCTTACAAAGGATGGAAGGCTGAGTCAACCTTGAGCCTGGTGAGATTTGAACTTGCAGTAATTGCAGGCAGCTGATGTTAATAACTGTTAATAACAGTGCTTTAGTCTGCCGCGCCACCATCCTCATCATCTGACTATGGGGATGATTCATTGGTCATAATTGTGAAAAATGGCCGTAAGTCACTTTTTCAGTACCGTCGTAACTTTGAATGGTCACTAAGCGAACTGTTGTAAGTCAAGGACTACCTGTAGTCTCAGTACAAATAAGAAAACACAGTACTTACTCAGCTTCTTGGGCTTTCTTCAAAAGCTTCTCTGCCTCTTCCTTTCGTTTCTTTAAGTTTTTGGTATATTCTGTGCGGTCCTCACAATGTGTCATGAGACTCTTGAGGTTGTTGAGCAGGTCTAGCAGCTCCCGAGGTCCCTCATCCATCTTGATGGCCAGAACATAATTTGCAACTTTTTCTATATCCTCCGGTGGGGCACTTTCCTCTTAGAAAAGTGAGGAGAAAAGCATGTAGGATCACTGTTTGGCATCCTAAACTTATATACCGCTTCACAGTGCTTCACAGCCCTCTCTAAGCAGTTTACAGAGTCAGCTTATTGCCCCCAACAATCTGGGTCCTCATTTTACCCGCCTCGGAAGGATGGAAGGTTGACTGAACCTTGAGCCAGTCAGGATCGAACTGCTGGCAGTTGGCAGAATTAGCCCACAATACTGCATTCTAACCACTGCGCCACCACAGCTTAAATAACAATAGCCCTTAGACTTGTATACCATTTCACAGTGCTTTACAGCTCTCTCTAAGGGGTTTACAGAGTCAGCACATTGCCCCCAACAATCTGGGTCCTCATTTGACCGACTGTGGAAGGATGGAAGGATCCTTGAGCTGGTCAGGATCGAACTCCAGGCTGTGGGCAGAGTCTGCCTGCAATACTGCATTCTCACCACTGTGCCATCACAGCTTAAATAACAATAGCACTAGCACTTAGACTTATATACCGCTTCATACTCTTTACAGGCCTAAGTTGTTTACAGAGTCAGCATATGGCCCCCAATTATCTGGGTCCTCATTTGACTGACCTCAGAAGGATGGAAGGCTGAGTCAATCTTGAGCCGGCCAGGATCGAACCTCTGGTAGTCGGCAGAGTTAGCCTGCAATATTGCATTCTCACCACTGTGCCACCACAGCTTAATTAACAATAGCACTAGCACTTAGATTTATATACCGCTTCATACTTTTTGCATCCCTTTCTAAGCAGTTTACAGAGTCAGTCTTGCCCCCAACAATCTGGGTCCTCATTTTACCAACCTCGGAAGAACGGAAGGCTGAGTCAACCTTGAGCCAGTCAAGATCAAGCTCTTAGCAGTGGGCAGAGTTTGCCTGCAATACTGCATGCTAACCACCGCACCACCCATTAATAATAATAATAATAATAATAATAATAATAATAATAATAATAATACATCACAAAATACCGGGATTTGCAAATTGAAGTTGAGCGACTGTGGAAAAAGAAATCGTGTATTGTCCCGATTGTAATTGGAGCCCTTGGAGCAATACCCGAAGGGCTACCCCGCTATTTAGAAATTCTAAATTTGCCGGACTTGAACATTTTGACTCTACAAAAAACCACCTTACTCGGAACAGCTTACATCCTCCGACGATACCTTAACAGTTCCTAGGTCCTTGGTTAGGATTCGAGCTGCTGAGCTATTAACCAGCCTCAAAGGCTGTGAATCTCACTAAAGATTAAATAATAATAATAATAATAATAATTATAATAATAATAATAATAATAATAATAATAATAATAATAATAATAATGTTTTATTATCTAATTGTTCTTTTTTGTGCGTTGTTTTAGATCAATATTTCTCAACCTCAGACCTTAAGATGTGGGGAACTCAGTTGCCAGAATTCCCCTGCCAGCATTATGGATTAAAATTGGGCATCTAATTATTTATTGGTATTCTTGTTTGTGTTTATACACATTAGTGTATTATTTATTAGTATTCTGTGTGTGTATATACACAGACCCCCCCACACACACTTTTATAGTGTTAAAATATACCTCAATTACTCTGAATAGTCAGTTCACGATATGAAGAACAACCAGTAGTGGGATTCACCAGTTGTAACAACTGGTTCGCTTCACGCACCCTCCGGTAGGCCTGTTTTTTGTCCTCCCCAGTCTCCGGAGGCTTTCCTGGAGTCGCCCAGGGAGGGGCGGGGCGGGGTGGGTGAGGTCAGCCAGTCCTTGGAACTACCGGTTCGCCGAACCAGATTAAAATTAATATCCGGGATTCAGTCCGAACCGGCTGAATCCCCCCCGAGAACAACTGTTCAAATATGAGCTAAATCATCTTATTTTTAATTGAAAGGGGGCCACAATTGATCTAAATAACATCATTTTTATTTTGTTAACGTGCCTGCTATGCTGAATTTATTTTGCGTGACATATACTGAAAACGGGAGAGGAAGAATAGCCCATTTACCTAGCAAAAAGTTCCTTAGTCTCTTGATCAGCTTTTTCATGCTTTCTCTTTCGTTTTCGATTTGATATTTACTTTTCTCCAGTTTTCCATGAATCTCCAATGTTTTCTCCTTAGTGTCTTCAGCCATTTTCCTTATAGTTTTGATCTGTGAGGGGACATTTTGATAACAATCTGTTTTTTTTTTCTCCTTATTAACAGTTTTATTGGTGGAAAAAAACCCTCAAAGTTAATGATAACATTTCCCCCTGTAACTTCTGGATTCATTTTTCAGTTCTAACTCTAAAATGGATTAAAGGAAAAGTAGCTTTTAGGATTCGGTTATTTTAAGTGATTGACTGAACTCATCCAGCAGCCAGAGCAAAGGTGGGTTCTACTTAACTTTACTACCGGTTCACAATGGGGGCGTGTGCTTCACTTGAGCGCAACGGGGCCGCTCACTTCGCTTGTGCATGCACAGAAGCATTTTGATGATGTTGCGGTGGGTGGGCGGAGCCTCCCTCCGGTTTTACTACTGGTTCTATAGAACCGGTCCGAACCGGGGGCAACCCACCACTGGACCAGACGTATAAAAAAATGTGGGCGGAGGGGGGGAAGAGATGTCAAAAAGTTAAAATTGTCAGGTGAGCCTATGCATCTTCTCAACTAAGTGTTGGCACCTGATCAGGGTCAATGGAATTCAAGGGAGTTTATTTGTGACTATGTAAGGATTCTAGGCTGCTACCTCTTTTCACTCCACCCCCAGGTTCTGCCAACTCCTTCTCCTACAAAATGGTGGCGACGACTGCACAAGTGAATCCACCGATTTTGACTTTTTCAACCTGCCCCCTTCAGATGATTTTGCCCCCGGGGGAAAATAATAATAATAATAATAATAATAATAATAATAATAATAATAATAATAATAATAATAATAATAATAATAATAATAATAATTTTATTTCTATACCGCCCTTCTCCCGAAGGACTCAGGGCGGTGTACAGCCAATTTAAAAACACAAGACACAACAATGATTAAAAATTAAAATAATTAAATAGATTTGGCCGGTTTAAAACCCCAAAAATTTAAAATACCCCAATTTAAAATCATTATGTTGATAGCCCGGCCTGGCGGAACAACAGGGTCTTCAATGCGCAACAAAACACCCGGAGGTCGGAGATCTTAGGTATTTCCGGGGGCAGTTCATTCCACAGGGGTGGGGCTCCCACAGAGAAGGCCCTCCCCCTGGGTGTCGCCAGCCAACATAACTTGGCCGATGGTACCCTGAGGAGACCCTCTCTGTGGGAGCGGACTGGCCAGTGGGAGGCCACTGGTGGCAGAAGTCGGTCTCAAAATAGTTTTTGATACCCACACGTTAGACGTATATAGAATCCAAATCATCATACGCCTAGTGTCTATTTTTACAATTCTAAGCACAACTAGTCCACTGTGAATGGTTGGTTGTTAGCTTTTCATTACTGGAGATAAAATACGGAACTGGAGAAAACCACAAATGGAGCTAACCAGGGAAAGATGGATGGGTACAAACAAAACCGGCATAGTTCTGTTCCCACACGGTCCCTAAATTTCTTGATTTGTGGGTGTAGCATAGTTTCCATGTCGTTTCTGTAATTTAAAAAAAAAATAGATTCTTTGTGCTGGACCTGGAATTATTTCAGTTCTGAGAACATTTAACACTGTAATGTAAAGTGTTAGGATCACTTTACATTACATGTAAACTGTACTTTACATGTAAACTGTAAAGGATCTGCATTCTCCAGAGATAAAGCCGGAAGCTCATGTAGACAACATTTTTCATCCAGCAGGCCAACTATACTGGGACTCATTCATAAACACCGTACGAGTCGGATAACTTACCCTGTTCCCCCCAAAATAAGACATCCCCTGATAATAAGCCCAATCGGGCTTTTGAGCACATGGCAATAAGGCCAAGCGCTTATTTCAGGGTTCAAAAATATATAAGACAGGGTCTTATTTTCGGGGAAACATGGTATTAACTAGGTCATTGTTCTTTGAGAACAGTAGTGCAGGAGCCACTAAATTATGCTAAATAATGCTAAATGATGCTATATTATGCTAAATAATGCAAAAGAGCTCCTTCAACAACATCAACAGTGAAAGATTGCACAAATTGTGAAATTCCCTCAAACATTTCTTTGCTACTTGCCTCCAGAAGTTGTGCTCCAACACTGGAGGTTTTTAAAGAAAAAGTTGGACAACCATTTGTCTGAAATGGTATAGAGTTTCCTGCTTGAGCAGGAAGTTGGACTAGAAGACCTTCAAGGTCCCTTCCAACTCTGTTACTCTATGTTCCAAAGCAAGAGGAAGCAGGAAACATAAGTGTTTGTATAAGAAATTCTGTTTATATAAAGCACAGCAAACAAAGGGCACAGTCACCATGTGCTTTACTGCTCAATTATTTTACTGTAACAGGAAACACGAAACTCTACTTAGGACAAAAGAGCATATTCTGTTATTGTGGTTTCTTCCACAGCTTTCTAACATTCTTTCACGATTATCTCCCCGTCTATTAACTGGGATTAATGCGATCTGTCTCTTGTACACTTCGAAGACCATGAAACATTTTGGAGCTCAGAAGCTTGCAACACACATGACTATTAACATATAATACCTTATTCTGAGATCCTTGCATCTGATTGGTTAGGTTACTTAACAGCAGGCCCGTGCGATCAGCTTTTCTAAAGGTGTTGGTAGAAAGGGGGTATGCCCCATCACAGTTTGGACCACCACAGTGTTTATTGCCCTGACTGTCACGACATAAAGCCCCGCCACACTCTGCCATGGCACACGAGACGTTTCCTGGCATCCCACATACCTGCAGGAAAACACAAGTCAGGCATTCATACTGAAGTGATCAGCGAAAACATCACTCGGTGTGTTTTCATTCTTCAACGCAAATCTACTGGGGGATTATCATGATTAGCTCGCATTTAATTACAACCATTTGTCTGAAATGGTGTAGGATTTCTTGCCTGAGCAGGGGGTTGGACTAGAAGACCTCCAAGGCCCCTTCCAACTCTGTTATTCTGTTCTGTTCTGCTCTGTTCTCTCTCCTCTCCTCTCCTCCCCTCCCCTCCCCTCCCCTATTCTAACTCTATTCTACTCTACTCTACTCTATTCTATTTCTCCTCGCCTCTCCTCTCCTACCCTACTCTACCCTACCCTATCCTACCCTACTCTATTCTAACTCTACTCTATTCTAACTCTACCCTACCCTATTCTAATTCTATTCTAACTCTACTCTACTCTACTCTACTCTACTCTAAAGTAAAGTAAAGTAAAGTAAAGTAAAATAAACAAAAAAACACACAAATAAATAAAATTAATCAGCCTTACTTTTTCATTGATATTTTCAATTTCTGAAATTGTGAACGTTTTCAGATGGTTCAGCGTAACGTTTTCCTGGGTGTCCAGATCATCGAGCAGGGCAAACGCGTTGCTCCTTATTTTTCCTCCATGAACTAGCATAGTTCTCGTTTCGTTGATTCTCTTATCAGCAGCCAACATGATTTGATGATAATTCTTTATTTTGCTGAAAAAATCTGAATCAAATGACCATATCATTTCGACATAGCACTTCACACAACATCGATAAATCGAGGAAATGCAAAGCTAGGTAATACGATAATGGTCAACCGTTTGTTATCACATGCAGTTTTTATTATTCGCATTCTTATTTTTGCTGCCATAAGATGTTGTGGCCCGTCAGCAGCCTGTGCAGCTGGCACCCGAGTCAGACAATGAGGAGGCTGGAGAAGATGTGGTGCCAGAGGTGGGGATTCAACCAGGGCCTTCAAAACCTCCAGAAGCTCTCATAAGTGAAGAGGATGAAGAGGAGGAGCCTCTTCTCGATGTACAGGCACGCAGAGCAGCCAAAAGGCAGGAGTGGCTCCTCAGGAGGAGGTCTCTTCGAGAGTAAGGCTTGGGGTTAATTGGCCATTCCCTTAGCCTATTTAAGAAAGGACGACGACTGAGGCAATTTGCAGGGAACAACTTTAGTTCACTCTCCTTCGCGTCTGGATCTTAGTTCTTTTATCAGTTTCCTGCAAATTGCTTCTGGGCTTTCTGCCAACCATAGTAAGATTACGATTATTTATTCTTTGGATTCTTGTAGGCTGTTAAGAAAGTTAATTAACAGCCTTTGTTTGAAAAAAGACTGATTTAATTTAGTAAAATAAGGTTTGTACAGACTTTGTGTGTGCTGCGTTCTTTGGGGTCTGTAGCTGGAGCAGAACGTAAGGACTCTCAGCAGCTGACAGTAAAAATTAAAAAATTTGGTAGGGAAGATAGTATAACAACAAAAATAACAGTACAGGTACTCCTTGACTTAACGACCACAAGTGAGCCCAAATTTCCACTGCTAAGTGAGACGGTTGTTAAGTGAGTTTTGCCCCATTTTACAACCTTTCCTGCCACGGTTGTTAAGGGAATCACTGCAGTTGTTAAGTTAGTGGCAGGATTGTGAGGAGACTCTGGCTTCCCCATTGTCAGAAAATCTCAAAAAGTGATCCCGGGATACAGCAATCGTCATAAATATGAGTCAGTTGCCAAGTGTCTGAAGTTTGATCACATGACCATGGAGATGCTGCAGCCATTGTAAGTGTGAGAAATGGTCATAAGAAGATTCGTGGTGGCATAGTGGTTAGAATGCAGTATTGCAGGCTAATTCTGTCGACTGCCAGCAGTTTGATCCTGACCGGCTCAAGGTTGACTCAGCCTTCCGTTCTTCAGAGGTTGGTAAAATAAGGACCCAGATTATTGGGGGCAAGAGGCTGACTCTGTAAACCACTTAGAGAGGGCTATAAAAGCACCGTGAAGCGGTATATAAGTGCTATTGCTATAAGTCCCTTTTTCAACTGCCATTGTAACTTCGAATAGTCACGAATGGCCATAAGTCCAAGACACCCTGTAAAAAGCTTTGACGTGGTCCTATGAACGAGTTCTTTTTTGAGCTGTTAGGGAAGATGGTTTGACATGTTTTCGATCAGTAAAAACTTTATATTCTTTGTTAGGATATGGTGTAAATCTAACAAGTTGTCCAGGCAATATATGTGTGCTATAACTTTAAATGAGTTCTGTAACTTTAAGATGTAATGCTGAGTAATTGTACTGATGAGTCATTGTAATGACTAATGACTGCTGACTGACTGCTGACTGCAATTATCCTAATTGTACTGTTGAGTCATTGCACTGCTGACTTCACTTATCTTAAGTGGATAATTACTAATGCAAACTGTATATAAGGAGAGAGCAGAGCTATAGTCATTCTTGCTTGACTTACTGCTTGACTTGTTGGTTGGAACTGTTACTGTCGTGTGTGAAGAAGTGGATGGATCTGCTACCATCGTGATTTGTTACCAGCGTTGAATTGCTGTTTATTACCAACTGCTGTTTGTATGGTAAGAAGGTATCTGTAACTTCGGACTGATTTGAATGGCTAAAGACTTGGATTGACTAAAAGACCATGCAATTGTTTTTCACTACAAAGTAAAAGCTTTGTTAAACCAGTTTGTATGTATTGTATTCATTGCTCTCAATACCATTTCTCTGTGCACTTGCTCTGCTGGTTGGTTAACACAACAATATCCTTAACATTCTTAATTTCCGGCCTGCTTACCCTTGAATTGCAAATAATTCATCCTGCGATGCACTTCCGTTCTCTTTTGCAGGCTTTCAGTGAGATTGTCAACGTCCTTCTGCAAGTTTTCAATTATGCTGTGGAAATCCGGAATCTGATCCAGTGGGCCAGGTTGCAGAAGCATGTGAGAAAGTATCTGCCTGAAAAAGAACAATAGGTCAGCTATTACATTAGATTGAATGTTAAGATTAGCACTTGATCTCACATTAGTACTTCTCTCAACCCTGGATCCATCTTTTTTTTACTACCGGTTCTGTGGGCGTGGCTTGGTGTGGCTTGGTGGGCGTGGCTTGGTGCGTGTGGCAGGGGAAGGATACTGCAAAATCCCCATTCCCTCCCCACTCCTGGAGGAAGGATATTGCAAAATCTGCATTCCCATCCCACTCTGGGGCCAGCCAGAGGTGGTATTTGCCGATTCTCCAAACTACTCAAAATTTCTGCTACCGATTCTCGAGAACCTGTCAGAACCTGCTGGATTTCAACCCTGAGTAGTGGCCAAAATTGTGGGGAAAGTGTATTATTGAGATTTGATGGCTAATAACACTACTTTTTTGGGGGGGGGCAGTTTCAAGAGAATCCTATTCCACTGCTGGAATGGCCTGGGAATAGCCCAGACCTTCACCCAATTGAAAATCTAGGGAGCCGACTAAAGAAACTTGTTAGTCAGAAACGACCCAGCAGTGAAACTCAGTTAATAGAAGCCATCATTCAATCTTGGAAACAAGTTACGTGGCAGCTTGCCAAGCGTGATAAGGTCTGTGTTGATAAGTATTCCTTTGAAAACCTGTTTGGACAAACCTTGCTGCCTGTGAATGAACGTAATTCACAGTCGTGTCAATAAGGACCAATTCCTGCCTCCTACTTGTTAAGGGAGTACAGAACACTTACTTAATATTGTCGTGCACTCTTTTAATATCCAAGAGTGCCTCGGGTAACAGGGATGGGCTGTTCAAGATCTTTTCCAAGTCAGAAATTTTATTTTCATAGCCTCTAAAGTTGAAATCACAGCCCGGTGTGGTTTTCCTCTTATCCGTTAGCATTACAGCAAATTTCAACAATTTTTGAATTCTCCGAGACAACAAATTCATGATATTATCCCACTGATCAAAACAAACATGGCAACGAGCACAAGATGGAAATTCCTGATTGTGATTGCGTGCACACTGATCACAGTGCTTTCCAGTAACCCCAGTCCGGCAGTGACACACTCCAGTGTCTTTATCACAAGCAGGAGTCAGAGTTCCGTCCTTGTCACACTTACATTCTGATAAGGAGAGAAACAATCGTGTTAAATTTGTGAAAGGGAAAAGATGAAAAAAATAAGTAAATAAAGCAATACAGGTAGTCCTCAATTTACGACCACAACTGAGCCCAAAAGCGAGATTTTGCTAAGTGAGATTACTAAAAAAGTAATTTGTTCAGTGAGTTTGGTCCCATTTTACGACTTTTCTTGCCGCCGTTGTTAAGTGAATCACTGCGATTGTTAAGTTAGCAACATGATTGTTAAGTGAATCTGGCTTCCCCATAGATTTTGCTTGTCAGAAGGGGATCACGTAACATTGCAACCATCATAAATGTGAGTCACTTATCAAGCATCCCAATGTAAAACATTTGACCATGGAGAGGCCACAACGGTCGTAAGTGTGAAGAATGGTCCTAAATCACTCTTTTCAGTGCCTTTCTAACTTTGAACGGTCACTGTTGTAAGTCAACCTGTAATTTAAGGTTGTTAGTTATAGGATGTATTTATTTTATTGTTCATATTTCTATGCTGCCCACTCTCCGAGGACTCTGGGCAGCATACAACAATCAACAGTATACTAAATAGCATATTGCCCCCGACAATCTGGGTCCTCATTTTATCCACCTTGGAAGGATGGAAGGCTGAGTCAACCTTGAGCCGGTGAGATTTGATCCGCTGATCTGCTGAACTAGCAGTCAGCTGAAGTAGCTGCAGTACAGCACTCTAACCACTGCGCCACTGCTCCACCTCGGCTCTGTATACCTATGTACCATACTTGGGCCTCTCTTCTTTGGTACTTTCCAGCTGTGTTGGACTACAATGCCCATCTTTTCTTGGCATAAATAATTATCTGGCTATGGGATGATGGCAGGGGTGGAATTCACAGAAGTTTGCCACTGGTTTGCAAATGTGAGTGTGCACGCGGGCATGCTCGCCTTGTGTGCGCCCCTTCTGTGCCTCGCACGCGCCCCTTCTGGGCATGTGTGCAGCCTTCCATGTATGCGCTTTGCTCATGCGTGGCATCAAAAACAAGGCTACATAGGACGTCATGGAGCCCACCCACAGGTTGCCGCTACAGGTTTGCTCGAACTGGTCTGAACTGGCTGAATACCCTCTCTGGATGATGGGTGTTACAATCCCACATAACTAGAGGGCTTTAGCAACAGGCTGCTTTACATTATGGCGTAATTACAGGTAGTCCTCAAGTTCTGAACAAAATTGAGCCCCAAATTTCTGTGGCTAAATGAGACATTTGTTAAGTGAGTTTTGCCCGCATTTTACAACCTCTCTTGCCGTAGTTATTAAGTGAATCATTGCAGATGTTAAGTTGGTAACAGGATTGTGAAGTGAATCTGGCTTCCCCTTTGACTTTGACTTTCAGAAGGTCATAAAAAGGGATCACATGACCCTGGGACACTGTAACCGTCGTAAATATGAATCAGTTGCCAAGCGTCTGACTTTGGATCACGTGACCATGTGAAAGAAACAAAATGTTAAAAAGTTACAATATAAAATATCTTTACAATCCCCAAGGCATGCCACAATGTTTGAACACCCCTAATGTTTGGGAATTGAAACATTTTTGACACGCCCAAAATGGGGACGCTGCAAAGGTCATAAGTGTGAAAAACGGTTGTAAGCCCCTTTTTTCAGGGCCCTTGTAACTTTGAACAGTCACTAACCGAACTGTTGTAAGTCGAGGATCAGCTGTAATGCCAAAGTTCTAGGACTTTTGTTAAGTCCACGCAAGTCTACCAACAGTCGGTCCACTTACCGATACAATCGATGCCGTAATGATTTTCAGCACAGACGTCGCAACGTCTTCCAGCATAGCCTACTTTACACGGACACTGGCCTGTTAACTATAAAAAGGGTCTCTCATTAAAACATGGCCAGGGGGAAGCAAGAGACATCAGCGTGTTTCACTCAGATCCTGATATCCCAAATATGGTTTGGCAAGAGGCAATTGGACTCTTGACAAGTCCAGTTGTCTCTTGAAAAAAGGCACCTTTGGGAAACCATGATCTGGATGCTGGGGTGGGCTTTTGGGGGTTCGCAGGGGTTCGGGAGAACTTCTAGCTAAGATTCTGTGCAATTTGGAAATTCCCCCAAATCCCACTCCTGGCTGGCCCCGCCCACCGCACCCCACCCCTCCTAGGAGTCCCCAAGTGGCCCAATTTGGATGCAGGTAAGTGCAGTGTGTGCGCAGAGGCTCAGGGAGGGTGAAAAACGGGCCTGCCAGAAGTTTGGGAAGGCCAGAAACAGGCCCATTTCTGACCTCCAGAGGGCCTCTGGAGTCTGGGGAGGCCATGTCCAACTCCCATGGACCACAGCACACCAGGTTCCCTTGTGCTCCCTTGTCTCCCGGAGTTTTCCCAAATTCATGTTCCTTGTCTCAATGACCCTATCTAACCATCTTCTCCTCTGCTGTCCTCTTCTACTTCTCCTTTAATTTAATTTTGATTCAGTTTAATACATTTTGGGCCCTGGCGCTACCACGATATCCTTTCATTTTAAAAATAATGCATTAAGGTCAAGAATCTTGCCTGATCACAAAGGTTGTTTATGGAACGTTTGGGATGGCAGCTACAGGGACAGCATCCTCTTCTCTGGGCCATGTTCCAGAAGCCAGGAGCACATTGGTCACACTTCTCACCTATCACATGAGGTGAGCAAGGACACTTGCCAGTGGTCTGGTCACACGCGCAAAAGTCCCTTCCGGGCGGGCATTTTGTTGGGTTCACACCCAAAAGGTTGCAGCTACATTCTGAAAAGATATCAGACATTGTGATAGGAGGAGGAGCCAAGATTTAATATCAGACCATCAATCAAGAAGGAAATAATATCCCAATCAAGAAACTGCCAAACAAATTACCGTATTTTTCGCAGTATAAGACGCACCTTTGTCCCCCCCCAAAAAGGAGGTAGTTTAATATTCTGACGATGTCAGCAGATAGCTGACAAAAGCTTAGTTAAATTTTTAAAAAATTATTAAAAAATTTTAAAATTTCAAGATCCGGAGCTATTAGGGAGGATCTGTCTTCACCCTCTTTCTCCCACACAAACTATATTTTGCTGTCTCTTGCTCCTCTGGAATGCAGCCCCTCCCTCCCTCCTGGGAATCCAGACTACATTCCATCACACTTACTTACTTCTACAATCCCTCAGAAGTGCTGATCCAAAGTAACCAGGTTTACAAAATTGGCAGTTTGGCCCATGAGTGTTGTGTAAGCATTTTAAACACTCTCCAGTGTCCTTGTTGCAAGATTCCGGGTCTGCCACATCCGTGTTGTTATTGCAAGAACAAGGAAGACATTGACCTGCTGGTACACTTGGATTTCCATGGAACCCACTGGAGCACTCATCACAGCGGTCACCTTCGAATGTGAAAGTCATACACAATTACAATCAATTAAATGTACTGATACATAGGTTGGTTATTACAAGACTAATGTTTCCAAAACCAACCAACCAACCTGTTAACTGGCCTGACCCGGCCACAGCCTCCATGCCTATCCGCTGGTCTCACAGCGCCTTGCGCAGCACAGTTAAATTTAGTGCGCTTCACAATGGGGGAGATGGCACCCCTCCTCCTCCTGGATGCTCCATTACAACGTGGAGCATCAGCCGCAGCCGGATTGGGCGAGTGTCTCAGGACGGAGAGCAAGCGACCGAGGTACATCCAGCACCAACAAAAGCCGAAGAAGCGCCCACGAGACCCAGAAAGAGCCGGAGAATCAGAATGAGAGAGAGAGAGACAGACAGACAGACAGACAGAGAGCACAGACAGAAAGAGAGAAAAACAGACAGACAGACAGAAAGAGAGAGAGAGAGAGAGAAAGGGACAGAGAGGGAAAGAGAGATGTGTGTGTGAGAGAGAAAGGGAGCGAGATACAGAGAGAGAGAAAGAGAGAGACAGAGAGAGAGATGAGACAGAGAGATGAGAGAGAAGGAGAGAGAGAGTCAGAGACAGAGACAGAGAGAGATAGAGAGACAGACAGACAGAAAGACAGACAGACAGAGAGAGGAGAGAGAGAGGAGAGAGAGAGGAGAGAGAGAGGAGAGAGAGAAAGGGACAGAGAGGGAGAGATGTGTGTGTGAGAGAGAAAGGGAGCGAGATACAGAGAGAGAGAAAGAGAGAGACAGAGATGAGACAGAGAGATGAGAGAGGAGAGAGAGAAAGGGACAGAGAGGGAGAGATGTGTGTGTGAGAGAGAAAGGGAGCGAGATACAGAGAGAGAGAAAGAGAGAGACAGAGATGAGACAGAGAGATGAGAGAGGAGAGAGTCAGAGACAGAGACAGATAGAGGGAAAGACAGACAGACAGAAAGATAGAGAGAGAGAGGAGAGAGAAGAGAGAGAAAGGGACAGAGAGGGAAAGAGAGATGTGTGTGTGTGTGAGAGAGAGAGAGATACAGAGAGAGAGAGAGAGAGAAAGAGAGAGAGAGAGAGACAGACAGACAGACAGACAGCACCTTTGGGACAACTGTGACCTGGAGGACGGAGAATCTCCACAGACCATTTGTGGCATAGCTTCCTAGACTAGACATCAAATGGTATGATTTTTTGGGGTGAATCTTTAGCCACAAAGAATGACCTAACGATGCGCAGGTTTCCTACCTGAATAGCCCACAAAGCATTTGCAGATTAATCGTTTGGTCCGGGGTTCTTGGAAACAGGAATGTGCAAAATATCTCTTGCCAGTTGGGGAATCCGGGCACATGCACGGACGACAAGGTTCTCTCCCCAGGGGATTTCCATAATACCCATCTAAGCACCTGCACCAAACATAGTTAATGTTTGTTTTTTTTTAAAAAAAACCATTACATCCCATAAAAATAGCTAAAACAGCATCTTAGAGAAGTAATCCATTTAAACAAGCCCTACAAAAATGGGAACCCATAAACATATGATGATGGAATGCGCACCTAGAGAAGGAGCTGGGTGGAGGAACTGGCGTACGCATGAGATTCCCCAGACAAGATGCAGATTAAGAGATTGTGCAATGGGGTCCTTGATACTCTCTGAGATTGGTGGTTTTCTTGCAGACGTTCCATTGTCCCAACTGGGGGGAGGGGGGTAACAACATCAGTGCTACAGCACATTGTGTAGCCCTGATGAAGTTACCTAGTTTGGTAATGAAATGTCTGTAAGAAAGTCACTGTTGTGACCTAGGCTCTAGTAGTTATTACCAGACGCAATCAGTCCTAAACAAACATATTTTATTAGAACAGCTGAGAATTACTTCGTTCTCAGCTTAGTCCAAATTAAGTCCAAAACAAATCCTTCATAAACAGTCCTTCGGCCTTATCGTCAACCTTTGTCTTCTTTGGCACCCTGCCAAAGGCTTTCCTTGGCAAAAGTTCAGAAGCAAGAGACGCTGACAAGAAACAAATGTAGCAACGTTGCTTTCCTACAAAGATCCCAAGAGCCGTTGCTGCTCTTTTAAGCCTTCTGGGAGGGGCCAATCATCTCCTGGCCTTACTCCTGAGTCGTCCTTTTTGCTTTAGCTGCTCTTGCCTTCTGGCAGCTTTTCGCATGTGTGCACTAGGAACAGGCTCCTCCTGTTCCTCTGCCTCTCTGCTATCCACCTCTGGAGGCTCCGGAGTCGGCGCATCGCTCCCAGATGGCCGTGGCCCCATCTCTGCCCCTGACGCAGAGCCCTTGTCCGGGCCTTCCTTTGACTCCAGGACTGGCCCACTGTCCTCCCCAGCCTCCTCATTGTCCGACTCCGCTGCCAGCTCCGCAGGCTGCTGGCGGACCACAACAGTCACCAAGCTCAGAGCACACCAAGAATTCCATGCAGAGGTGGGTTTCATAGAGGAGTGAAATCTACTTATCTTCCCTACCAGTTCAGAAGTGCGCACGCTGCATAATTTCACATAATTTTACCATCGTGCATGCGCCCGGCCTTCTGTGCATGTGCTTTGCTCACGCGTGTGGCTTGCACGCATGTGCGTGGCTTAGAAAACGTGACTCAAGAGAACGGCATAACACCAGCCACCTGCAGGTCGCCACTACCGGCTCGCCCGAACCGGTCCAAACCGGCTGAATACCACCACTGATTCCATAGTTGTCTTCCTCCTCCTTTCGTCCTCCTCCTCCACCACCTCCTCCTCCTTCTTCCTCCTCCTCCTCCCTCTCTCCACAAACTCCACTCCCTTCTAGCACTGATGAAGTTACTTAGTTTGGTAATGAAATGTCTGCAAGAAAATTACCAATGTCAAAGCACACCAAAGACTCCATAGTTGTCCTCCTCCACCATCTCCACCACTTCCACCACCTCCTCCCCCTCCTCCTCCTCTCCTCCTCCCCCTCCCCCTCCTCTCCTGCTCCCCATCTCCACAAACTCCACTCCCTTCCAGCACTGATGAAGTTACTTAGTTTGGTAATGAAACATCTGCAAGAAAATCACCAAGCTCAGAGCGCACCAAGGACCCCTTACATGCAGTGGTGGGATGCTGCTGGTTTAACAACTGGTTTGGTGATCGCGCGCGAATACTAACCTTCTGTTGGGAGTAACACAGCTGGGTGCGGCAATCCACTGTGCCGCGCCAATCAGCTGAGAAAGGTAAGTAAAACGCAGACGCGGGTGAGCGGGCCAATCTGATTGTCAGAGTGAACCTGTTCACTCCCAGCTGATCGTCGGAGCTACCAGTTCACTCAAACCGGTCCGAACCGGTAGAATCCCACCCCTGCTTACATGTGCATAAATTTTGCACTCGCTTAAACATTCATCTGTCTTTACCTTTCACAGTTAGATCCGGTGGTGAACCTCGTGCAGTTCAAACACGCTCCAGTCTGCGGATCGCAACGTTCCGAGAAGCCGTTGCAAGCACAAGGACGACAGTGAGGAAACCCAAAATATCCAACTAGGCATTGATTGCACCGCTGGCCGGCTACTTCCGATCGACAGGAACACTGTCCAGTCACCTGATCACACAGGGTACCTACTGATCCTTGAGGATGACATTCACATGCTATATTGAAAAAAAGAAAAGACAATAGTGTTAGATGGCCTGTTATTTAATTAATGTGGTCTCCTTGGTGCTCTCTGAGCCTGATTGTTTTCTTGCAGACGTTTCATTACCAAACTAGGTAACATCATCAGTCCTTTAGTTAATTTATTGAGATTCCTCAGCATGAAATTATCCGAGAAGCAGTTATGCTTCTTCCTTCTTAATTGTACAAAGATGGATGAACCACAGACTATAAATGAGCACAGCCACCGGATCATGACTCGATGCGGACAAGACTGACCTTTTGCCCCCCAATCCCTCCCTTTCCGATCCCCAAATCTCTGCTTCTCATTGGCTATCTTCCAAGTCATTCTTCAGACTTCTTGTCACGTCATTTCCCAGGAATGTCTCCCCGCTTCATTTCCACGACAACCGGACATCAAAGGGATTTAGCAGGCAGAAGTTCAGAGGTTATCTCTCTCTCTCTCTCTCTCTGCTCTCTATGCCAGCGTCGAAACGCTGACATTAAGACTTGCTTGAGGCACCTCATACAGGTAGTCCTCGACTTATAACAGTTCATTTAGTGACTGTTTGATGTTATGACCATTTTTCACACTTTTAGACACCGAGTGCTCAAACTGTGCCTGTGCGAACGTGCGTATGCACTGACTTGTGCGAACGTGTACGCGAACCCCATCATGGACCTACACTATACCTGTTACATTTGGTTTGTTGTTGTTAGTTGCGAAGTCGTGTCCGACCCATCGCGACCCCCATGGACAACGTTCCTCCAGGCCTTCCTGTCCTCTACCATCCCCCGGAGTCCATTTAAGCTCACGCCTACATTCGGTTACTCTTGCCTAAATGTAGAACTTTATTTTTCTCATCATTTTGTTCGATAGGTTTACGTCTCTGTGTATTCACTAAAAAGAGGTCATAATTGGCAGACCATACTGGATATAGATTGTTACTTACCAAGGCAACCTTGGGGTCCAAAGCTGTGACTTCCAGCTGCACATTTATCGCAACAGCGTCCTACAACGTTGGGTTTGCATTGGCACTGGCCTCCAAGTTTTGTGCAGTGGGAATTCAGAGAACCTTGCGGGTGGCACCTGCAGGCTGTCAGGAGGAATATATTTGATGCCAAAGTAGGAAAAAAGGAAGAAGAATTAAATTCCAGATATAGCGGTAGTCCTCTACTTAGAACCATTCATTTAGTGACTGTTTCAAGCTACAACGGTACTGAAAAAAGTGACTTATGACCAGTTTTCATTACTACGACCAGGGGTGAAATCTACTTACCTTCCCTACGGAAGTGCATGCGCGCGTGGACCCTCTGCGCATGGACAAACCCTTCTGCGCATACGCAAAGGGTAAAAAATAGGTTACTTCCTGTTTAAAGCCAGGAAGTAACAATGACCAGGCGGGTGGGTGGAGCCTCACGCTGCAATCGCTACTGGTTCTCTGAACCACCCACCGCTATCACTACCAATTCGGTCGAACCGGTCCGAACCGGTAGCATTTCACCTCTGCTTACAACCATTGCAGTTTCCCCATGGTCATATAATCGCTGATATGCAATACAGTTAGTCCTCGATTTACAACAGTTCAGGTTGTGACCATTCAAAGTTACAACAGCACTGCAAAAGGTGACTTAGGACCATTTTTCACACTTATGACCTCTTCGGCATTCTCATGCTCACATGATAAAAATTCAGATGCTTGGCAATCGGTTCATACTTATGACCGTTGCTGTGTCCCAAGGTCATGTGATCCCCTTTTGACAAGTAAAATAAATGGAGAAGACAGATTCACTTAATAACCATGTTGCTTACTTATCAACTGCAGGGATTCGCTTACCAACGGTGGCAAGAAAGGTCATAAAATGGGACAAAACTCACTTAACAAATGTCTCTCTTAACCACAGAAAGTTTGGGTTCAATCGTGGTCGTAAGTTGATGAAAAACATTGTTGTGGCCCGCCAGCCGCCTGCAGAGCTGGCGGCAGACTGAGACGATGAGGAGGTTGGGGAGGAACTTGGGCCAGTGCTGGAGTCTGGAGAAGGCTCTGATGGATACTCTGCGTTGGAATGCAGAGATAGAGCCGGGGCTGTCCGATATTTCCCAGCCCCCGGACAGGCAGCTGCCTTTGGAGGCTGATATGAGTGAGGAGGAAGAACAGCTGGGGCCTGTTCCAGATAGACATATGCAGAGAGCAGTTAGGAGAGGAGAACAACGGAGGACAAAGAGTCGACTTGGGAAGCAAAGCACACATGGATGCTGAATGGCCCCTCACTGGCTGGGGAATCAATAGAAGGAAAGGGGAGTGGTGCCATATATATATGTATGTATGTATGTATGTATGTATGTATGTATGTATGTATGTATTTGTTTTCTTTCCTTTTCGTAGGCTTTATGTGTATTTCTCTTTAGCCAGGTTCTTCCTACATAAACCAAGATTTGTATGCAGCCCTAGTTCAGTGAAATCACAATCCACTAGTTTCTAGGCTTTTTTTTTCTGGCAGCCAGCAAACAGTCTGCTGCCCATTGGGAGACTAAGGGACAGCAGAGTGTTTGCTGGCTGCCAGAAAAAAAAGCCCTCGATTCTGGGCTTTTTTTGTTCTGGCAGCCAGCAGGCCTTATGCTGCCCTGTGCTGCCTAGTGAGAGACTTATATAGATCTATTTCTGGCTCGTTAGCCATCATCAGTAAGCCACACCCACATCTCATGTATCCACCCTGTAAAGGTACAATATCTATTTTCTTACTTTTCTTAGGTTTTATGTGTGTTTTTCTTTTAGCCAGGTTTTTCCTACGTAACCAAGTTTTTTCTACAGCCCTAGCTCAGTGGAGTCACATCCACTCGATTCTGGGCTTTTTTCTTCTGGCAGCCAGCAGGCCTTATGCTGCCCTGTGCTGCCTAGTGAGAGACTTATATAGATCAATTTCTGGCTCGTTAGCCATCATCAGTAAGCCACACCCACATCTCATGTATCCTCCCTGTAAAGGGTTAGGGTTAGGAAAAGTAAGAAAATAGATATTGTAAATATATATATATATATATATATATGGATAATACAATAGAGGAGATACAATATTTCAACAGGTAGAAGACAAGGACTTACGGACGGCACCATTGTGAATCCGGGCAGACAAACTCGCAATAAGTTTTGTGCAGGTTTCTGGTAAGATGTGAGGTCCAATTTCTGAGGCACTTTCCACGCAATGATACTGTTGAAACTCCTCTAAATCGTTTTGATCGCAAAGGTTTTCCACAGAAGCGATGGCAGGAAGGAGTCCGATCTACAATTTTTTTTAAAAAAAATAAAGTTTTATTCATTTTCTACTATTACATTTATTTAGTGCTTGAAGATAAAGGTAAAGGTTCCCCTCGCACATCTGTCCTAGTTGTTCCCGACTCTAGGGGGCGGTGCTCATCTCCATTTCAAAGCCGAAGAGCCAGCGTTGTCCGAAGACATCTTCGTGGTCATGTGACTGGCATGACTCAACGCCAAAGGCGCACGGAACGCTGTTACCTTCCCACCAAAGGTGGTCCCTATTTTTCTACTTGCATTTTTGACGTGCTTTCGAATTGCTAGCTTGTCAGAAGCTGGGGTAAGTAACGGGAGCTCACCCCGTTACGCGGCACTAGAGATTCGAACCGCTGAACTGCTGACCTTTTGATCGACAAGCTCAGCATCTTAGCCACTGAGCCACCGTGTCCCTATTTAGTGCTTAATAAACAGCAATATAACTTTCTACTAACTTTGAAAATGGAAGATGAACAAGTTAAAGAAACAGTGATACAGTGGTCAAAAAACTTTGGATGTAATATAGAACTAGAGAAATGGCAAAATATATGGGAAAGAAATGATAAATTAAGAATGGCAACTTCGTATAAAGAAAACTTACATGAAATGTTTTATAGATGGCACCGACCACCTGCTAGGTTAGCCAAAAGTTCAAAAATATGTCTAGTAAATGTTGGAAATGGAACCAAATTTCTGGCACATATTACCATCTGTTGAGGACTCAGTTTGTGGTGGCAATAAGCTGACTTTGTATAAATATACAAAAGTATGAAGGCTATTGCTTAACACATTGTAAGCTGCCCTGAGTCTCCAGAGAAGGGTGGCATATAAATCAAATTTTTTTTAAAAAAAACTTGTGTTAAAGCAAAAAAAAATGTGGGCAAAAATATGCATGTGGTTAGAAAATATGTTAGGAAAATATGTAGATCTTAAACCTGAACTTTTCTTATTAGGTATAAAGATAAAGGTTCCCCTCGCACGTATGTGCCAGTCGTTCCCGACTCTAGGGGGCGGTGCTCATCTCCGTTTCAAAGCCGAAGAGCCAGCGTTGTCCGAAGACGTCTCCGTGGCCATGTGGCCGGCATGACTCAACACCAAAGGCGCATGGAACGCTGTTCTCTTCCCACCAAAGGTGGTCCCTATTTTTCTACTTGCATTTTTTACCTGCTTTCGAACTGCTAGGTTGGCAGAAGCTGGGGCAAGTCACGGGAGCTCACCCCGTTACGCGGCACTCGGGATTCGAGCCGATGAACTGCCGACCTTTCGATCGACAAGCTCAGCATCTTAGCCACTGAGCCACCGTGTCCCGATTATTAGATATAGTATCAGAAAAATTTGATACACAAAGCGTATATTTAACATTGCATGTATTAACAGCAGCGAGGATTGTATTTGCTCAGCATTGGAAAAACGAAGAAATGCCACCAGATGAAGAGATAATTAAGAAGATACTGGACTTTGCAGAAATGGACAGACTTACATTGAAGATTAAACAGAAAGAAGATACTGAATACTATCAAACATGGAATTTATTTTAATCAATGGCTGGAAAAAAAGGGGTAAAGATTAGGAATATAATTTGTATTGTTAAGCAGACAAAATAACTCAGACGAGTCCAATTTATAACATTAATGCAAGTCTCAAAACATCGAAGAATGCAGCTAGTCCTTGAGATCCGACAGCTCACTTAATGAATGTCCAAAGTTACGACAGATGCCCCCAAATTACATAGGACTCTATTTCAAAGTTACAATGCTTGCAGGGGCTCCGGCAGTCATTCGGCCTTAGGACTGACCCCGAGGATGGTATCGCTTTTAGGAGTTGAAAGAAATAAACGATAATAAGATTATTCCCTGATGGTTCATACAAATGCATCATTTTTGCAAATAATCAACATAGCTAGTCCTCAACTTACAACCGTTTGCTTAGTGTCCATTCAAAGTTCCAACGGCACTGAAAAAAGTGAATTATGACCGTTTTTCACAGTTACGACCTTTGCAGTATCCCATCAGATGCTTGGCAACTGACTCATATTTATGACAATTGCTGTGTCCCGGGATCAAGGATCCTTTTTTTACGACCTTCTGATAAGCAAAATCAATGGGGAAGCTGGATTCACTTAACAACCAACTTACTAATTTATCAACTGCATTGATTCACTTAACAATGAACAAGTGCATTGATTCACTTAACAACGGTGGCAAGAAAGGTCGTGAAATGGGGCAAAACTCATTTAACAAATGTCATAACGTAACCACGGAAATTTTGGGCTCCATTGCGGTCTTAACTCGAGGACTGCCTGTATAACTATCGGGATAAATCGATAGATAATATAAAGCAGTCGATTCCCCCAAATCCATTCGCTCAAACGGAAAACGGAAATTAAGATCATATCATTGCCACTTACTGAATCAACCAGTATGGAGGATTGAGACTTCAGTTCAGGATCCGAAGTCTTGGAAAAATAGACATCTACCAAATATTCTTTCTTGGGTTGTAAGCATATCGGAGTAGATAGCAACTGAATTCTGTTGAAAAGAATCAACGCATCGTTTAGGGATTTAAAAATGTTATTCTGGTTTTAGGATTAATTAAAGCAGTGTGAAATGTGCATCTTCATGTATTGCAAGTATTAGCCACTGTGGCACAGTGGTTAGAGTGCATTATAAAGTCTCCTGCCTTGGACAGGAGGTTGGACTAGAAGACCTGTACTGTTCTGTTGTTCTGTTCTGTTCTGTTCTATTCTATTCTATTCTATTCTATTCTATTCTATTCTATTCTATTCTATTCTATTCTATATTCCATTCCATTCTTCTGTTCCATTCTTCTCTTCTCTTCTCTTCTCTTCTCTTCTCTTCTCTTCTCTTCTTTCTCTCTTTCTCTTCTCTTCTCTTCTCTTCTCCTCTCTCTCCTCTCCTCTCCTCTCCTCTTCTCTTCTGTATTCTTCTCCATATTCCTTCTCTTCTGTATTCCGTATTCCATATTCCGTATTCCATTCTGTATTCCGTTCTATTCCATTCTATTCTACTCTATATTCTATATTCCATTCCATTCTTCCATTCCATTCCATTCATTCTTCTCTTCTCTTCTCTTCTCTTCTCTTCTCTTCTCTTCTCTTCTCTTCTCTTCTCTTCTCTTCTCTCTCCTCCTCCTCTCCTCTCCTATTCCTCTCCTCTCCTCTCCTCTCTTTCCCTTCTCTTCTCGTCTCTTCTCTTCTCCTCTCCTCTCCTCTCCTTCCTCTCTCTCCCTTCCTTCCTTCTGTATTCCATCTTCTCTTCCGTATTCCATATTCCTCTTCCGTATTCTCTTCTATTCCATTCTATTCCATTCTATTCTACTCTATATTCTATATTCTATATTCTATATTCTATATTCTATATTCTATATTCTATATTCTATATTCTATATTCTATATTCTATATTCTATATTCTATATTCTATATTCCATTCCTATCTTCTCTTATCTTCTCTTCTTTCTCTTCTTTCTCTTCTCTTCTCTTCTCTTCTCTTCTCTTCTTCTCTCTCTTCTCTCTCCTCTCCTCTCCTCTCCTCCCTCCTCTCTCTCCTCTCCTCCCTTCCCTTCTGTATTCCGTATTCCGTATTCCATTCCATTCCCATTCCATTCCATTCCTATTCCTATTCCTATTCCATTCATTTTAATTTTTAAAAAGTGAATTCCAGACCTCCTTGTGGATGGCAGATCAAGGAACCGTGGTTCTTCCAGAGCAACTCGGTTTTTGCAGTGTTTGCTTCCTACAGGACCAGAAGTCTTAACAACAATGGTTGCTCTCCAGTCAGCTGAAGCCTGGATGTTTGGGTGAAAAACAACAGTAACCAAGATTCAAACAATGTCTAAACATTTCCAACTTTATGAGAGATGTCAACAAGAGCATACTGAGTTATTGGACCAGGAAATGAAACGAAAGAGCTGTTCCAACATAGTAGAATATTCAAAATAGTAAAAAAATTTGAAACCCACCACTGGTTACACACACCCCTGGCCACACCCACAATGGCCACGCCCACCCAGCCAGTCATTAGGGCAGCGAACCGGTTGTTAAATTATTTGAATCCCACCACTGGTGAGCATATCTAATACACTTTATCTAACACATTATTTATAATGCACTTTCCTCCTCCTATTGTCCTCACAACCACCACCATGTGAGGTGGATTGAGCTGTGGGACCATGTCTGGCTCAAAGTCACCCAGCTGGCTTTGATGACTAAGGTGGGACTAGAACTCACCATCTCCTGGTCTCTAGCCTGGTGCCTTAGCTACTTGTTGTGGCTCCGTTGCCTGAGCCTGGGCTATCGACAGATGAAGACTCTGAGAGTGAGGGAGAGGAGTTGGCAAGGCCTCCCTCTCCAGGACCCTCCTCTCTGGCAATGCCTCCGGAGGACACCGAAGGCCAAAAGATAGGCTCAGAGCCAAGCACGTCCCCGCAGCCACAGGTGGACAGCGACGAAGAAGATAAGTGCTGGCTGGACCCTCGGCAGAGGTGCAGGGAGAAGCATGCGCAGCAGAGGGGAAGGCGTGTCAGAGATTAGCTGAGTCACTGGACCACACCCCACAGGGTATATATGTGGGTTGCGTGGCCAGTTCAGTTTGTGATGAGCAAAAACTGGAAATAATCCATGATCTCTGCGTTACTGGATTTTGCCTGCTTTATCGGACTGCATTTGGATTAATCCTTGTATTGTTGAAACTCTGCCTGTTTTATCGGAATGCTTGCAGTCTAATCTTTGTTTTGTGTGAGTAAAGTCTGAATTGGCAGCTAGCCACTGGGTTGCTGCCAGGTTTATCTTCAAAGAGTTTTGTTGTGTGGCTTATTAACTCCGGGCCGTCTGTGGGGGTGCGTGTGTGGTACAGGGACAGAACACTACTACACCAAATTGGCTCTCTCAATATACTATTGCTATGCTGCTCGAATTCTCATTCCATTCAGATGTTCACACTCTAATCAACGGTGACACAAAATAACACAACTTATGTAGGCATCACATCTGAAGGCCTTTTGTTTCGACAGGGATCATTCTTGGATTGTAGCCTATGAGAAAACCTTTGGATCAGAGGTGGGTTTCAGCAGGTTCTGAACCAGTTCTGGAAAACCTGTAGTGGTAATTTTGAGTAGTTCTGAGAACCGGTAGTAAACATTCTGACTGGCCCCGTCCCCATCTATTCTCTGCCTCCCAAATCCCAGCTGATCGGGAGGAAAAGGGGATTTTGCAGTATCCTTCCCCTGGATTGGGGAGGGAATGGAGATTTTACAGTATCCTTCCCCTGCCATGCCCACCAGCCACGCCCAACAAGCCATGCCACGCCCACCAAGCCATACCCACAGAACTGGTAGTAAAAAATTTTGAAACCCACCACTGCTTTGGATCCATAATACTGAGGGTTGAAAATGGAATAAACATGTCAGTCAGGGTAAATCTGACAGGTTTCAGTTTAGTGTTTTAAAAACATTTTATAAATCCAAGTACATTGCTTATTCTAGAGCTCTTGCTTTTGGTTTGGGTCTCCCTTAAAATATTGAAATAATTAGGCGTATAAATCATTACCTCTGGCTCATAACGGACGATGATATTAAAGTCCATCGGAAATGGAATGTTGTTGATCAAAAAACGTAAGCCAGCTTCGCTTCGCACACGCACGAAACCCAGTCCTGACCACGTCACAGGTTTTCCAGGCACAATCTCTTTAATCACAATATTAAGAGCTGGGTTTCTGCTGAAAGAAACCGGATTCTGAAAGAGGGTTTTAAAAAACATTATTCTATCCCTTTTCCCCCCAAAATAAGACATCTCCTGATAATAAACTCAATCAGCCTTTTGAGTGCATGTGCTAAAATAAGCCCCCCCTGAAAATAAGCCCTCCCCAAAAATATTTAAATGCGTGCGCAGCCAGTCCCCGACATTTCCTCTGGTTAGGGTTAGGAAGACTGTTGTGGCTCCGTTACCTGAGCCTGTGTCATCAGCAGGAGAGGACTCTGAGAGTGAAGGAGAGGAGTTGGCAAGACCTCCCTCTCCAGGACCCTCCTCTCTGGCAATGCCTTCAGTGTCTGCCGAAGGGCAAGAGATAGGGCTGAGGCCAAACACGTCCACGCAGCCACAGATGGACAGTGATGAGGGTAATGAGTCTTGGCTGGATCCACGCCAGCGTCGCAGAGATAAGCACGTGCAACAGAAGAAAAGGCGTGCCTGAGATTAGGCTGAGTCACTGGACCACACCCCACAAGGTATAAAAGGGAGCGTGGTGGCCAGTCAAACCTTGTGACGAACAAGGTTCTGCATTGCCGGACTTTTGCTATAGACTTTGCTGGATTATCTCTGGACTTGATTGACTCTGTAATTATTGAGCTGTTTCTTTTGATGTACCAGAAGTGAGGAGAAGTTATCTCTCCGCTTCGTAAGTAATAAACTCTTGGCAAGCAGCCACTAGGTTGTTGCCAAGTTCCGTTATCATAAGGAAAAGGATTTTGCCGACTGGTTTGGTCTTTAACTCTTGAACGTCTGTTGGTGTGTGTGCGTGTGGGACGGGGACAGAACAGAGACAGAGCTGGAAATCAAGTAAGACAGAAAGAGGAGCCCCATCTTGCTCCATGCGCCCTAAAATAATAAGAACTCCCTGAAAATAAGGCCAAGCGCTTATTTCACGGTTCAAAAAAATATAAGACAGGGGTCTTATTTTCGGGGAAACATGGTAGTAGCCAAGTGCATCCCAATATGCTGACAGAATAAGCACCATGCCTTTTAGTCTCTCGTCTACCACCTTCCAAAGATATCACTTTGAAATAAAAAGTCTCATAAATAATAATACCATGTTTCCCCGAAAATAAGACCCCGTCTTATATTAGTTTTTGCTCCAAAAGATGCATTAGGGCTTATTTTCTGGTTAGGTCATCTTTTGGGGGAAATATGATACTAATTGCGTCCGTCTGGCTGATGATTTATTTATTTTATTATTTATTTTATAAAATTTTTCTACCGCCCTTCTCCTGAAGGACTCAGGGCGGTGTACAGCCAAAAATAAAACCCACAACTATATGAAAGTTAAAAGACAATTTAAAAATATTAAATAATTTCGCCAAAAGAGCTAAAATAGAAACCACCCATTAAAATAGCATTTAGGCCAGCCCTGCTTGGTGAAACAATAACGTTTTGAGGGCGCGGTGAAAGGTGCGAAGGTCGGGGATCCTACAAATCTCCAGGGGCAGCTCATTCCAGAGGGCAGGTGCCCCCACAGAGAAGGCTCTTCCCCTGGGGGTCGCCAGTCGACATTGCTTGACCGACGGCACCCTGAGGAGTCCCTCTCTGTGGGAGCGTACTGGTCAATGGGAGGCTATCGGTGGCAGAAGGCGGTCTCGTAACTACCCGGGTCCTAAGCCATGGAGCGCTTTAAAGATCTTAACTGGGGCCTATTTTGGGGGTTGGGCTTATAATTACGAGCATCCTGAAAAACCATGCTATGGCTTATTTTCCGGTTAGGTCTTATTTTCGGGGAAACAGGATAATAAAATAAAAATATTAGATTTACTTGTCCAGCTGTCGGTTTTCTGTTGCCCCTTTTCTTCATCTTCTTCAAGACAATTTTTCCATTTTCAATTGTGAAATCGTAGCCTTGTTGCTTATAATAGACATCACAGCGTGGCATGGTTGTTGGCTGAACCTTATAAATATATTGAAATGATAAACAGTATTGCAATCTGAGAGCTGGTGTTAGAAATACAATATTTTTCGGAGCATAAGACGCACCTTTTTCCCTCCAAAAAGAGGGTGAAAATCTGGATGCGTTTTATACTTCAAATGTAGCCCCACCCAGCCTTTCAAACAGAGATTTCAGAGGCTGAAAGAAGCCTCTGAAAGAAACTTCAGAAAAAAAAGCCTCAGAAAGGCTTATATCTAAAATAATATGGCAAGCAACAAAAGATGAATCAGTAAAGGTTCTAACCAAACTATGCTAACAAATCTGGAGAATGACACAATAACCAACAGATTAGGAAGAGGTTAATCTACATACCAATACCAAAGAAAGGAGATTGAACAGAATACAAATAGTCCTTTAGAATAAAAGCCTCTGAAAGAAGCTTCACAAAAAAAGCCTCTGAAAGAAGCTTCACAAAAAAAGCCTCCAAACAGAGCTTCACAAAAAAAGCCTTTTTTTCTGAAGCTCTGTTTTGGAGGTTTTCTGAGGCAGAAAAAAAAAGCAAGGCACAGAGCTCACAACCAACGAACCTGTTGCTAAAATTCACCACTGGGAACAGCTGATTGGGGGTATTCTGGGAGGCCGATCCACCCACCAATCAGCTTTTTTCTTATTTTCCTCCCCCAAAACTAAGGTGCGTCTTATACTCCAGTGCGTCTTATACTCTGAAAAATACGGTATTCTGTGCAATCGTACTATGAATAATTAGGCAACCATGGAAGTGACAGAATTTAAACTGTGTCTCAATTTCCCCGTAGAAATGAAACTTTCCGCCATTTTGAACAGCAAATTTAAATGGAAGAAAGTTAACCCTCCGTTTTCAGAAGTTATTATGCTAATGAAAGGAAGTAAAAATCACAAAGGAGAAAGAAAAGGAAGATAAACTACTTTCTGTAGGCCAGATTGGGAAAAGCTACAATAAATATGGCAGCCACAAATATGTTATTTCTTTTGATGACCCTTTAATCGAGGTACAGTCGGAACGATTGGATGGAGCTGAGCATTTACTGGCCGGATGCCCTTCCTGATGCCGACACCAAGTTCACAGCAGATATTTTCTTTTTGCACTCTAATAGAGAAACATCTGTTGCTGCCTAGGATTGAACTCTCAACCTTCCAAGTGTTGTGGCCCGTCAGTGGCCTGTGCAGTTAGTAGCTGATTCCGACAGTGAGGAGGCTGGTGTGGGTGCTGCGCCAGTAGCCTGTGCAGCTGGTGCTCGAGTCAGACAATGAGGAGGCTGTAGAAGATGTGGTGCCAGAGGCCTTCAGAACCTCCAGAAGTTCCCATAAGTGAAGAGGAAGAAGAGGAGGAGCCTCTTCTCGATGCATGAGTGCGCAGAGCTGTTAAAAGGCAGGAGTGGCTCCTCAGGAGGAGGTCTCCTTGAGAGTAAGGCTTGGGGCTAATTGGCTACTCCCCTAGCCTATTTAAGGAAGGACGACGACTGATGCAATTTGCAGGAAACAACTTTGTTCATATTCCTTCGCGTCTTGATTCCAGAAACGTTTGATTCGGCTCTTGTTTCTCTCTTGTCAGTTTTCCTGCAAATTGCTTCTGGGCATTCTGCCAACCACAGTAAGATTACGGTTATCTGAAATACTGTGCCTCAGAATTGAGTTATTATTCTTTGGATTCTTGTCGGCTGTTAATGAAGTTAAATTAACAGCCCTTGTTCAGAAAAGACTGGTTTAAACTGTACTTTTGTTCGAACAACTGCTAAGAAAGCTCATTAGTAGTCCTTAATTAGTAAACTAAGGTTTGTACGGACTTTGTGTGTGCTGCGTTCGTTGGGGTTCGTGGGAGGCAAATGTCTTAACCTCTAGACTAGTCGCTTCTGGCAGTCAAAGATAAAAAAATAAAATGCATTAATTTCTTTTTCCTGTAGTTATAGTTTTCCATGTTGTCCTCTGCTTCCCGCTGGTCCAGAAAAGACTATCCTACATGTTAATCTGTACTATTAGTAACCCGATAAAAAATTAATTAAAATACCAAGGGCAGAGGTCCAAGGAGAGGCGTTGAATCTTCAGCTTCATATATATAATAATCCAAAGGTAAGAAAAAGTAGCCTAAACTTGGTTCGCTACATTGTCGGCCTACTATATTAGATCGGCAGTCACACTGTCCGTCGGTAGATGAGCACCTAGGAAGAAAAAACAGTGGAACATAAAATGTGAAAAGAAGCTAAAGAAAACTAAGCGATGACTTCGAAATAGTTTTCTGACCAATTACAGGTAGTCCTCGACTTACGACAAAAAATTGAGCCCCGAATTTCTGTTGTTAAGTGAGACATTTGTTGGGTTTTCATTTTTTTCATTTCATTTTATTTGATTTATATACCGCCCTACTCCCGAAGGACTCAGGGCGGTGAACAGGCGCAAGATAAAACACATAGAATACAAAAATTTAAGAGCAGAAGTAAAATCGAATTAAATCAATTTAGCCCAAGACAAATTTAAAACCCCAGGTTAAGAACAAATTAAAATTTACATTAAAAAGAGAATGGGAGAGGTTAGGCCAGACCAGCCTGGTAAAATATAAAGGTCTTGAGAGAGTTTTGCCCCCCTTTTTTGCGATCTTTCTTGCCGTAGTTGTTAAGCGAATCGTCACAGTTAGTCTGCTGTGTTTTGTGACGATCTAAGCACCATGTTGGTCCGGATTTGGCCCCCGGGGCTTTGAGTTTGACATCCCTGATTCAGATGGTCTGATATTTCAATTTAATGCATACGTGCATAGGTATGGTTACCTATAAAGGGGACACGGTGGCTCAGTGGCTAAGACGCTGAGCTTGTCGATCGAAAGGTCGGCAGTTCAGCGGTTCGAATCCCAAGTGCCGCGTAACGGAGTGAGCTCCCGTTACTTGTCCCAGCTTCTGCCAACCTAGCAGTTCGAAAGCACGTAAAAAAAAAAAAACGCAAGTAGAAAAATAGGGACCGCCTTTGGTGGGAAGGTAACAGCGTTCCGTGCGCCTTGGCGTTGAGTCATGCCGGCCGCATGACCATGGAGATGTCTTCGGACAGCGCTGGCTCTTTGGCTTTGAAACAAAGATGACTACCGCCCCCTAGAGTTGGGAACAACTAGCACATATGTGCGATGGGAACCTTTACCTTTACCTTATGGTTACCTATACACAAGAAATAAAAGGATTGCTTTCTTTTAAAGATGAATCTTTAGTACATCTCTTATTTTTTCCAGGAGACTGTTAGGTTATTTTTTTTCTAAATATTGTGAAGGAGCTAAGATAGAAACTTACGAGTTATTGTAGGCACCACCAATGTCACAGTCACATGGGGAGCATCCATATACGTGACTTCCAAGACCCCAGTATCCTTCCTATGATGGAAAACAAATTGAAATGGAGTCAATACCCCAGTGTGTGAATTCAATTAAAAAAAATACACAGATGGTCCTCAATTTATGACAATTGAGCCCAACGTTTCCGTTGCTAAGTGAGACGTTTGTTCAGTCACTTTTGCCCCATTTTACGATGTTTCTTGCCAGAATGGTTAAGTGAGCTCTGCCTCATTTTACGACCTTCCTTGCTGCAGGTGCTAAACGATTCGTTGCAGTTGTTAAATTAATAACACGGTGGTTAAGTGAATCAGGCTTCCCCCATCGACGTCAGAAGGTTGCAGAAGGGGATCACATGACCCCCCCGGGACACAGAAACCGTCATAAATACGAGGCAGTTGAGAAGCGTCTGGATTTTGATCACGTGTCACGGGGATGCTGCAAAGGTCGTAAGTGTGAAAAACGGTCATGAATCACTGTTTTCAGTGCTGTTGTAACGTCAAACCAGGGGCAGGCTGCTGGGGGTTCGCACGGGTTCGGGAGAACCTCTAGCTAAGATTCTGTGCAGTTCAGAGAACTCCGAAATCCCACTCCTGGCTGGCCCTGCCCACCCTGCCCCTCCCAGGAGTCCCCACACGGTCCGTTTTGGATGCAGGTAAGTGCAGGGCATGGACAGAGGCTTAGGGAGAGTGAAAAATGGGCCTATCGGAAGTTCAGGAAGGCCGGAAACAGACCCTCCAGAGGGCCTCCAGAGCCTGGGGAGGCCGTTTTTGCCCTCCCAGAGGCTCAAGAAAAGCCTCCAGAGCCTGGGGAGGGCAACACCCCCCCCCCACATGATACAGGAGGCCAACTAGGCCATACCCACCCAGCAACCGAGCAGAGAACCCCTTACTAAATTTTTTAAAGCCCACCCCTGCGCCAAACGGTCACTGTTGTAAGTTGAGGACTACCTGTATATATTAGTGACTCTGATATTCGGATTAAAAGGCAGAGAAAACAAAGGGAAGGCCTCTAAGGAAAGTCCTCAGCAAGAAACTCTACTTGAAAAACTTCTCAATACATACAAGACAGCGTTCACAACGTTGTCCGGTGACAAATTCCTGGCACACACACTTTCCGGATTCTGGGTTGCAGACAGAGAAAGGCAAACTTCCCGCTGAGTGACACCTGCAAGCTGAAAAGACAGAATTCCAGATAAACCATTTGGGTGAGAAATGGACGGCAGCAGAAACGACCTGATGGGTTAGTCAAAACTACATAGCAGTGATGGCCAACCTATGGCACGCGTGCTGTAAGTGACATGCAGAGCCATCTCTCCGGGCACACCAGCTGTCGCCCGTTGCTTTTCTGGTTTCTGGCACGCGCATGTGCGCCGGCCAGCTGTTCTTCGTGCATGCATATGTGCCAGAAATCAGAAGTCCAGGTGACAGGCGCGTATACGCACACCAGAAACCGGAAACTGAGTTTCCTGGCGTGTGCATGCGCGTGCCAGGAACTGCTGTTCCGATTTCTGGCACTCAAGCACGTGCGCACCAAGGAGCTGCTCTTCCGGTTTCCCGCGCTCCCGTTTCAGCACTCGGTGCCGAAAAGGTTCGCCAGCACTGCTATATAGCAATACCAGTGAAATGTTAGAATTTCAAGGCGGGCAACTGATATTTTATTTATTTATTTATTTATTTATTAGTTCAATTTATAATGCCGCCCTCCTCCGAAGACTCAGGGCGGTTTACAATGCACTTATAGCAATAGCCTTCATTCTTTTTGTATATACCTGCTTATTAGGGCTTTTGCCCCCCCCCCCATAAGCAGTGTTTCTACAAAGTCAGCTTATTGCCCCCACAATCAGGGTCCTCAATTTACCTACCTCGGAAGGATGGAAGGCTGAGTTCAACCTTGAGCCTGGTGAGATTTGAACTCGCACTAATTGCAGGCAGCTGGCAGCTAAGTGCTACATAACAGCACTTAGTCCGCTGCACCACCAAGGCTCTTGAAATACAACTCATGTTTGCGGGGTTGTTTTTTTTCACCCTGACTACAAGACCTGAATCGCAAGAAAATGAAAGAAAAATTCGTACCCTGACAGCCGAGCGGATCGCTTCCATTTATTCCATAGTAGTGCGGCTTGCACTTGTCACAACGGACACCTTCAACGTTGGGTTTGCAACGACACTGGCCAGCAATGGTTCCAAGGACAGGATCCGAATGATCCTGGCACAGCCCATTTTGCAGAGTGCCTTCTGGATCGCAGTCGCAAGCTAGAGACAGACAGACGAATACCGATGTACGAGGTACAAAGGAACTTTTGGATACATCGCCCAAATTGATACGAGTCGAGTTAAACCGAGCAAGTCCCACGAATTGTCTGACTCCAACCCTCTGGATTATCTCACAAGCGCTTCACACTTACGGACACACGCATGAGGATCCGCCATGGCCTTCTGGGGATCCTGATAAAAAAAAGGCTTGCACCGTCCACAGTGCTGCCCCGTTGTGTTGTGCTGACAGTCATCGCAAACTCCGCCACTGGTACGGTTGTTAGCAAGGTACATGGCCATATCAAAGTGGCAGCTCTCTGAATGACCGTTGCATTCACATTCTGAAAGAGAAAGCAAACATAACGGGGCCCTCACACACCAATAAGAACCAGATGCATCTATTTTATTCTGCTCTGTTCTGTTCTGTTCTGTTCTGTTCTGTTCTGTTCCGTTTCGTTCCCTGTTCTGTTCTGTTCTATTCTTTATTCCTGTTCTATTCTATTCTGTTCTGTTCTGTTCTGTTCTGTGCTGTGCTGTGCTGTGCTGTGCTGTGCTGTGCTGTGCTGTGCTGTGCTCTGCTCTGCTCTGCTCTGCTCTGCTGTGCTGTTTGTTTTATTTGTTTGTTTGTTTGTTTTATTAAATTTATATACCGCCCTACTCCCGAAGGACTCAGGGCGGTGAACAGGCACAAAATAAAATACATAAATACAAAAGTTAGAAACATAATTAAAACCAAATTAAATAATTTAGCCCAAAACAATTAAAAATCCCAATAATTTAAAACAGATTAAAATTTTGATTTAAAAGAATTATAAAACAGGGGAGAAAATTAGGCCAGGCCGGCTTGCTGGAAAAGGAGGGTTTTAAGAGCACGGTGGAAAGTGCGCAGATCCGGGATCCTCCGTATCTCCGGGAGGAGCTCGTTCCAGAAAGTGGGTGCCCCCACAGAGAAGGCCCTCCCCCTGGGGGCCGCCAATCGACACTGTTTGGCTGACGGCACCCGGAGGAGCCCCTCTCTATGAGAGCGTACCGGCCGGTGGGAGGCTATTCTATTCTATTCTATTCTATTCTATTCTATTCTATTCTATTCTATTTGCAGCTGTTGCTTTAGTACGTTTACACCACCCAGAGCAGGAGTCAGCAACCTGTGGCTCTGGAGCCGTTGTGGCTCTTTCATCCCTCTGCTGTGGCTCCCTGTCACCGATTGGCTCCACAATTGATAGAGCTTTCTATTAGGACAGGTCGAGGAAAAAGGACTCTGTGCTAGGTGGAGACTCTATGGTGGGGGAACCGGACTTCTGGTCAACTCCAGAATTGAACAGGGGGCTTCCGATTAGGACCTTTGTGGCTCTTTGAGTGTTTAAGGTTGCCGACCGCTGACCCAAAGTCACAATTGTGAGTTAGGCATCGATATAAATAATTAAAGTAAAATACAGCTAGCCCTCAGTTAACGATTGTAATTGGGACCAGAAACTCCATCGCTGTGAAATGGCGTCACAAACCATTAATGAAGTGTGACTGCGCCGAGTTACTACTGCAGTTCCAATTGCGGTTGTTAGGCATGATGTCATTCGATCACCATTTACAACTTCCTTCCGCCTTCTCTATGGATTTTGCTTGTTGTTGATCACATGACCGTGGGATCTGCAACATCATAATTGCAAGCCGGTTGCTAAGCACCCGAATCACATGACCAGGACCTACTGTGATGGTTGCAACTTGGAGAAGTTAGGGTCCTTGTTTAGCACCATCATCCAATCAAACAGTCACTCAATGAACTATTGTTAACTGAGGACTACCTGTAGCATGAAATTTCAGTCTGCCTGTAGGAGATGACCAGGCTGAAGGGTCAAACATGTCATCAGTCATGTGCACCCACAAGAAATCTAAGTCCAGCCCATTTTGAATTCCTTTCTATTCTTATCTCCCACTCATTTCTCTTGACTGTTAGTTGGCCAGATTCTTGTAGAGAGCTTAAGCTTGCAATAAATCTTTATGCTCATTTGAACTGCCTGGATCTCCTGATTTTCCCGGCACTTGACACTGCCACTACAATGGAGATTTGGCAGGGTGATGGGTGGTTATTATCCACAAATCTGGTAAAAATTAAGCCAATCACTGGAATACTTCGGCAAGCATTTTCCTGGGATCCTTCAGCCGGCCTCCAAGGGACGTCATTGTAGAAATCTTTGCATCGTTCACAGAACAAACCGTCTGTGTTGTGTTCACAAAGGCAGTTTCCGTGGACCTGAAACACATCAATGAATATTATGGAAGTGCATGTTGGCACTTCCGGTGCTTTGCGTTCCTCTGACGTGGCCTGCTAGACATGAAGTTTGGGCATGGGCCACAAGGATGAACAGCATATCCACAATAAAATGGCTACATTTATATGCATACGTCATTACCCATCTTTATGAAACTCTGCTGTGGTGGTGCAGCGGTTAGAATGCACTATTGCAGGCTAATTCTGCTGACTGCCAACTGCCTGCAGTTCAGCAGTTCGATCCTGACTGGCTCAAGTTTAACTCCGCCTTCCATCCTTCCAAAGTCGGTAAAATGAAGGCCCAGATTATTGGGGGCAATATGCTGACTCTGTAAACACTTAGAAAGGGCTGTAAAACGCTATGAAGAGGTATATAAGTCTAAGTGCTATTGCTATTGTGCTCTCTCTCCCTCTCCCCCCCTTTCTCCCTCCCTCCCTTCGTCTCTATCTCTCTATCAACTCCCTATTTCTGCCTCTGTCTCTTTATCTATTCTCTCTCTCTCTTTCTGTCTCTGTCTCTGTCTCTCTCTCTCTCTCTCTGTGTCTGTCTGTCTGTCTCTGTCTCTGTCTCTGTCTCTGTCTCTGTCTCTCTCTGTCTCTGTCTCTGTCTCTCTGTCTCTCTCTCTCTCTATATATATATATATATGTATATATATATACATACACTACAATTTTGCAGATTGTAGAGATCACTCCCCTCCGGCCACTGTGAATAACTGCGGAGATGGCCTTGACAGAGATATGGCTGGAATGTGCTTTTGTTTTGATTGACGTACTGCCTCGCTGCAGCTGCAAAGTTGGTTTTCCCGTCCCTCCTGCCTATGGCAACTCGAGAGCAGGCCAGGGATGCTTTGCGAGTTGACAGGAGTCTTCTGAAAAGAGAACTTTTTCGACTCACCATCCCAGGCTCGTGGAAGACATCCCCTCGCAGATTTTCCCCAGGTCCACAGTGGCTGGCGTGGCCGTTGCACATGCACCTCCCATGAACAACCATTTCATAAAGGGCGTAGTAGTATTTTCCCAGAAGATTCCGTTTCTTTTCTCCAAGTAAAGTATCCCCCAACGTGTGAAGCTTTGTAAAATTGATTCTCAGATTTGTAAAAGCAACCAGCTCTGCAATGAAAATTTGGGGAAATTTGAAATCAGCTCAGCTCAAAATAATATCCATAATGGCGGACGTAATATTATATCGATATATTATTACAACAACGTCCATAACAGTAGCTGATAGGGTGAAAGGACCTCATTCCTGTCCAATTGGGCTCTTAACTCTCTCAGTTCAGGTTTTGTACCATTCTTAATCACATTTTAACTTTGTGCTGTTTATATTTTTTTTTAAAAATCTTTTTAACTATTTTTAATTTGTTTTATAACCTGCATATCACCCAGAGTCACCTTGTAACCTTGGAATTAATCTGTGCTGATCTGATTGCTGGTGGAGAGGTGCTGGAGTCTTTTTTCTCTTTTGGGCTGGTTGCAGTGGTGGGCTGCTGCTGGTTCGGACCGGTTCGAGCGAATCGGTAGTTACAACCTGCGGGCACCCGCTCTGGCGCTATGCTGTCCTATTTAGCCACGTTTTTTAAGCCGTCCGTGCGCGCTCACATTTTCAGTGCTGGGCGAACCGGTTGTTAATTCGTGTGCCGCCTACCTCTGGCTGGTTGATTGTCTTTTTTGCATAGTCTATAGATGTTGTTACTGTCTATGTGTGTAGACAAAAAGAATCTAGGAATTCCTTGACATTTGACTCCAAGGTTAACTTCAGACCAGAGGTGGGTTTCAGCCGGTTCTGACCAGTTCTGGAGAACTGGTAGCGGAAATTTTGAGTAGTTCAGAGAACCCGTCGTAAAAATTCTGACTGGCCCCGCCCCCATCTATTCTCTGCCTCCCGAGTCCCAGCTTATGGGGGGGAAATGGGGATTTTGCAGTAACCTTCCCCTGGAGCGGGGAGGGAATGGAGATTTTACAGTATCCTTCCCCAGCCCACCAAGCCACGCCCACCAAGCCATGCCACGCCCACCAAGCCATGCCACGCCCACCAAGCCACGCTCACAGAACCGGTAGTAAAAAAATGTGAAACCCAGCAGTGCTTCAGACCAACGATCAAGTAAGCAATACCCCAATCAAGAAACTGCCAAAGAACCAACAGTAAACAGCCCAACCAAGAAACCCTAAGACCGCCCCCATCCACGCAGACAGGCAAATCACCGGATTATAAACTGACAGCAAACAACACTCCTTACTAAGGTAGCACTGATGGTGTTACTGAGTTGGGTCATGAAACGTCTCCAAGAAAACAAGCAATTTCAGAGAGCACCAAGGTCCCCTCACTTTATTAACAGTTGTGTTCTACCACTGAGCTATCAAACGAATCAAAGCAAAGAAGAATTGGTAAAGGTGAAGGTAAAGGTTCCCCTCGCATGTATGTGCTAGTCGTTCCCGACTCTAGGGGGCAGTGCTCATCTCCGTTTCAAAGCCAAAGAGCCAGCGCTGTCCGAAGATGTCTCCGTGGTCATGTGGCCGGCATGACTCAACACCAAAGGTGCATGGAACGCTGTTCCCTTCCCACCAAAGGTGGTCCCTATTTTTCTACTTGCATTTTTTACGTGCTTTCGAACTGCTAGGTTGGCAGAAGCTGGGACAAGTCCCGGGAGCTCACCCCGTTACGCGGCACTCGGGATTCGAACCGCTGAACTGCCGACCTTTCGATCGACAAGCTCAGCGTCTTAGCCACTGAGCCACTACCAGTTCCTCAGAATTGGTAAAGGAGTGTTCAAATCCCAACTGTTCCTACCTTGGATGTGCGGATCGTAAGAATTTTCTATCTCAAAACTGGGGTCCAGAACTTTGAGAATAACCTGTCAAAATCCAAAATGATATTTATAAGCGCGTGAAAAGATTGATCTGAAATTCACTCCTTGCCAGTACAGGTATCCTCGACTCACAACCACAATTGAGCCCAAAATTTATGTCGTTCAGTGAGACATTTGTTAAGTGAGTTTTGTGCCATTTTACAAGCTTTCTTGCCGGGGGATTGGAGTAGAAGACTTCCAAGGTTCCCTCCAACTCTGTTATTCTATTGTTCTATTATGGTTGTTAAATGAATCACTGCAGCTGATAACTTAGTAACCCGGCTGTTAAGCGAATCTGGCTTCCCCATTGACTTCGTTTGTCAGAAGGTCGCAAAAGGGGATGACCTGACTTTGGGACACAGCAACGGTCATAAGTATGAGTCAGTTGCAAAGTGCTTGAATTTCGAACATGTGACAATGGGGATGGTGCAATGGTCGTAATTGTGAAAAATGGTCATAAGTCCCTTTTTCCAGTGCCATCGTAACTTTGAGCGGTCACTAAGCAAACTGTTGTAAGTTTTTTTTTTTAAAAAAAGTTTTTTATTAGTATTTCAAAATTAAAAATGTTGGACATAGATATGACATCACTGGTCCCAAGCATCTTCCAACACTTTAAACTAATACATAATATACTAATGATAATATAATAATATATTCCTTACACCTTATACTTTGTTTAAACATAGTATTATAATAATAGTAATTTATACCTTATTCCTGTACAATTATACATATCTATACCTACATATACCTAGCTATACAATTCGCATACATATTTATCTATAATAACGTATATAAAAAAGAGCCTTGGTGGTGCAGCAGACTAAAGTGCTATTATGTTGCACCAGCTGCCTGCAATTACTGCAGGTTCAAATCTCACCAGGCTCAAGGTTGACTCAGCCTTCCATCCTTTTGAGGTAGGTAAAATGAGGACCCGGATTGTGGGGGCAATAAGCTGACTTTGTATAAAAAAGAACACCGCTTGGGGGGGGGGGCGAAAGCCCTAGTAAGCAGGTATGAAGGCTATTGCTTAACGCATTGTAAGCCGCCCTGAGTCTCCGGAGAAGGGCGGCATATAAATCGAACCAATAAATAAATAAATAAATAAATAAATAAATAAATAAATAAATAAATAAATAAATAAATAAATAAATAATTCCAGTGTAACACTACACATTTGTCTCAGCTATCCTCCTTTTATCTAACCATTCGTAGAATTTTGCCCAGATTTTATAGTACAATATTTCGCTTTTATCCTTGAGTTCCAAGGTGAGTTTATCCATTTCTGCGCAGTTGAGTTAGTAGCATTTCCTCTTCAGTTGGGGTATACAAACTGTTGTAAGTTGAGGACTAACTATACTTAACTACAGAACGAACCATAAAAACTGTCCGGCAGTTTTCTGACTTTAAGGAAATTTGAACAGATTCGTACATCAAAAAATAAGTATAAGAATAGAAATAGAAATGGAAATGAAGGGACTAGACTAGACTAGAATAGACTAGAATAGAACAGAATAGAAAATATGGAATGGAATGGAATGGAATGGAATGGAATGGAATGGAATGAAATAGAATAGAATAGAATAGAATAGAATAGAATAGAAAATATGAAATGAATGGAATATAGAATAGAATAGAATAGAATAGAATAGAATAGAATAGAATAGAATAGAATAGAATAGAATAGAATAGAATAGAATAGAAAATATGAAATGGAATGGAATATAGAATAGAATAGAATAGAATAGAATAGAATAGAATAGAATAGAATAGAATAGAATAGAACAGAATAGAATAGAATAGAAAATATGAAATGGAATGGAATATAGAATAGAATAGAATTAGAATAGAATAGAATAGAATAGAATAGAATAGAATAGAATAGAATAACAGAGTTGGAGGGGACCTTGGAGGTCTTCTAGTCCAACCCCCTGCCTAGGCAGGAAACCCTGTAATTGCACGGAGAATGAAAAAAATCACAAAAATGAAATTATATACATACTTCCCCTTCGGTTGACGGTTCGATATCTGAATACTTGGAGTCACAAACAAGGTCGCCAACCGATTTGGGCGGCCTTGAAGGAACATCAGGAAAAGCAGCAGCACAGTTTTGTGCAAAATATCTGTAGACCTTCCAGGTTTGACCATAATCTGCGGAACGTTCCACCAACATGGCGGCAGGACGAAAAGTCTACAAGAGATACACACATACACCTTCAGATTGGTATGACTTTATATTCTGAACATGTAAGCATCGGAGACCCTGAATTGTTTAAGCTACTGTCTATTTATGATTGTTAATGTTGGAAGAAATGTCCTCTGGGTTCAGTTCCAAGTGGGGAAGAAAGACACTGGAAACAAGCTTGGAAAGATGGTTTTAATGGCGGACAGAATCACATGCCTTGAAGATCTTGGGTGAAGAAGAAAAAAAAGGGGAGGGGAGAGATGCTGAGAGTGCCTGGGTTTTGTGCCATCTCTGGGCTTTTGAATTTGAGCTTGTATTCTGATTGGTTGTTGGACTCCCATGGGGCCGTGCAGGGGTAACTTTGTAAGTTGTCTGTGTCCTAGGCTTGGTTGACTCTCGCTGGGTGATGATGTAATGAAAGGGCTTTGGGCAAGTCCTATTATGGCTCTGCCTGAAGGAGGTAGATCTATGTAGAAGAGACTGGCCCAGGCCTTAATAGCCCATTGACAAAGTGGGAGAGGGCTGAGATTCTGCCTCCCTTTTAGGCGGTGATGAAATCCAATTTTTTTTTACTACCGGTTCTGTGGGCGTGGCTTGGTGGGCGTGGTGTGGCTTGGTGGACGTGGCTTGGCGGGCATGGCAGGGGAAGGATACTGCAAAATCTCCATTCCCACCCACTCTGGGGCCAGCCAGAGGTGGTATTTGCTGGTTCTCCGAACTACTCAAAATTTCTACTGCTGGTTGTCCGAACTGCTCAAAATTTCCGCTACCGGTTCTCCAGAACCTGTCAGAACCTGCTGGATTTCACCCCTGCTTTTAAGGGAAATATTCTGCCCTTTTAATATTTCCTAAAATACTTCATTTTCCTAGGAGAGGGGTGGGTACTAACTTCCTACATTAACTGAGTCCTCAGGGAGAAGGGCGGTATATAAATTTAAAATAAATAAATAAACTAATCCTAATTCAAGCTTTCACCATGCCCCTATAAAAACTCTTTTCAAAAGTTTGCAATGACCTAAGAAGAATCTGACCTATATTTGAAGAAAGGGACACCACTGGATTTCAAGTTTTAACCACAGATGATAATAGATCGTTGTGCAACTAAGCCTGTTACCTAGAAACTTTTATGACACTTAATCACAAAATTGTAAACCATCATTCCCAACAAAGATGCTTTTTTTTCAAGAGGCACCTGGACTTTCTGGGATTTTTCTTTGAAGACGTTTCGCTTCTCATCCAAGAAGCTTCTTCAGCTCTCTGAAGAAACATGGTCATAATAAGTCCCTTTATTCAGTACCATTGTAACTTCGAATGGTCACTAAACGAACTGTTGTAAATCGAGGATTATCTCTGTGTGTGTGCGTGTGTGTGTGTGTATTTATTTGGGGTCTGACATAGAAACATTTCCAGCTGGTAGCAAAAAAATAGAGCCACTTGATCCTGGGCTGATCAGATCGATTAGCTGCAAGTATTGGTAAACAACCTAAGCCAGTGGCCCCCAACCTTTGGGGCACCAGGGACCGGTTCTATGGAAAGAGGTATTTCCATGAGCTAGAGGGAGCGAGGTTTCGTGTGCTGCCTGCATCCCACGGATGCGGCTTCGCTTTTTCGCTGGGCCTGGTTTCTGGCATGCTGTGGCCAGTGGTGGCATTCAGCTGGTTCTATCTGGTTCGGGCAAACCTGTAGCGGCGGCTGTGGGAGGCTCTGCCCACCGGATGTCATCACGTCCCGTTTTTGACCCTCTGCGCACGCACAGAGGTGCCGCGTGTGAACAAAGCAAACCAGTTTACGAACTATTTACGAACCCATAGTGAAGGTAAGTGAATACCACCTCTGGCCATGGCCCAGTGCTGGTCCACGGACCAGGGATTGGGGACCCATGACCTAAGCCAGTGATGGCTAACCTTTTTGCCATTATGTGCCAAAAGCGGGGGAAGCACAGGGGGGGTTGCGCATGCGCGTGTCCACACCCATAATTCAATGCGTGTGCGACACCTCCCCCACTCCCCCCACTTTTGGCACACGATGGCATGGTGGGCCTGGTAGGTCCGTTTTTCACCCTCCCGAGGCTCCAGAGGCTTTCTTGGAGCCTGGGGAGGGCAAAAACAGCCTTCCCCATCCCCCCGGAGGCCCTTCGGAGGTCGGAAACAGCCCATTTCCCGACTTCCAGTGGGATTGGAAGGCCCGAAAATCAGCTGGCTGACACACAAACGCACGCTGGAGCTGAGCTAGGGCAATGCTCGTGTGCCACAGATATGGCTCCACGTGCCACCTGTGGCACGCATGCCATGGATTCGCCATCACGGACCGAAGCCATTAGTAGAATGCAATCAATCCGTGCATTCCTGCCAAAACATATACTGCAAATCTCCCCTGTTTTACCTTTGCCACAGGCAAGTCTTAGCCAGATTAAATCAGATTTAAAAGCTGAGGAGACGATACGCCTCATTGAATTGTTGCTAGAAATGTTAGCTGAAGCATGAACCGTTTATTCGGATCGGTTGCAGAACTTGGCATCGTGAAGTCAGGCTAAAGCGCCCATTTTGAAATCCTAAACAAGCTAAATTTAGGAAGTCCTAAATATGAAAAAAAATGCTGAAAGGGGTATAAAATAAAAACCTTTTTTTCCCACTAATGAAATACGAGAAGTGTATATCTTTTTTTTTTTTTTTTTTGCAAAAGGTAAATTGCCTTCCAGGTGATCGCAGGTCCTAGTCAACAGCAGCTAAGAAATTCTGAGATGCACAATGTTGATTCTAAACAAGATAAAAGCAGACGTTACCTGAATGTTACCTGCTCTAAACAATTCTACCAAGCGATTAAATAATTTAAATACTGTATTTTTGGTACCTTGAAAATCAGAATAAGGTGACTGAACTGAAACATGTTTTCCAAGTCCAGCTGAATACTGACATGGTCGACACCTGCGAATTAATAAGCCAGATACAGATAATAGGAAAAAGAACAAAAACAGGAAATATTTATGGTTTCCCCTTTCTGATGAATTAATAGCATTTAGGGCAGTGGTGGGATTCAAATAATTTAACAACCGGTTCTCTGCCCTAATGACCGGCTGGGTGGGCGTGGCATGATGGGTGTGGCCAGAGGGTGTGACAGGCAGCACTTAGCTTCCTGCACCCCCTGGGAGCAAAAACGGGCCACAGGGGGGGGCACGCCGCAACCCCCTCGCACCCCATTTTGGGCCTAATAGACCTCCCTGCACTTATCAGGGAGCCAAAACGGGGCACATGGGAACTCCTGGAAGGGGCGGGGCAGGGCCAGCCAGCAATTTAACAATCAGTTCGCCTGAACCATCACGAACCGGCTGAATCCCATCACTGATTTAGAGTCTACCTTCTAGAAACCACTTCAAGGATATATTTTATTTTCAAAAGAAAATGGCCAGGGGATTGACATTTTGTGGTACCTCTGAGGTAAATTTTCTGGGGGCATGGTTAAACTAACTCAATTTGATGGCTTATGCTTCCAACTCTCAAACAATTTTTATAATTGTCTTGATTAATAGCAGAACAATCACAATTATTTTGCAAGGAACATTCCCCCCCCCAATGCTCAAGCTTTACAAAACACACATTTTTATTCTATCTGATTCCATTAATTTTGGATAATAATGAATTGGTGTATTAGGGTCACAGACAGAGAATCGAATTAAAAATGACAACCATTCAAATGTAAAATTTCTTGATCCTATTTTATTATTATTATTTTTGCTTGTTGCATTTCTCCAACAGAATTGAATGGGTTAGTGTCATTTTAGCATCTTTAAACCTTAAAATATTTACATCTTTAGCATCCAGGTATTCTACACCTGGAATACTGCATCTAGTTTTGGTCACCATTATAAAATTATAAAAAAGATGTGGAGACTCTAGAAAGAGTGCAGAGAAGAGCAATAAAGAGGATTAGGGGACTGGAGGCTAAAACATATGAAGAACGGTTGCAGGAACTGGGTATGTCTACTTTAATGAAAAGCAGGACCAGGGGAGACATGATAGCAGTGTTCCAATATCTCAGGGGCTGCCACAAAGAAGAGGGAGTCAAGCTATTCTCCAAAGCACCTGAGGGCAGGACAAGAAGCAATGGGTGGAAACTAATCAAGAAGAGAAGCAACCTAGAACTAAGGAGAAATTTCCTGACAGAACAATTAACCAGTGGAACTATTATTCTGTTAAATAGAAGATATTCAATGATGCTGCAAATGATTGAAATCTGCTATCGTTCCAAATGTGACATGTGCCTTGTAGGAAACAGCTGTCACTCTGCTTGATGTTAGGCACCGAGCCATCAATGGATTTCGTTGGATAATTTTAGAACCTGACTTTGCTACCAACCAAGTATTAACCTTTCTGTCCAGACAGGGATTTGCCACTTCGCTCGTGAAATTGTCAGATGGAAGTCGAGCAGATAACAGCCAAAGCCAATTGGCTAAAGAAATAAAACCGGCTGAAGCCACTCACCATTTTCAGATTGCCACCACTTCTTCCAATCGCGTTCCGAATGGGTAACCACGTTTTCGATAAAGTGACTGTTGGTTTGGAAAAGTGGGTGATAGGGATGCCTGGAATCGCAGGTGAAACATTTCTTCTTATCCTAGAAAAGGGGTAGACACAGGGGTGAAATCTACTTACGTTCCCTACCAATTCGGAAGTTCATGCGCCGCAGAATCTCTGTGCATGCACAAACCCTTCTGTGCATGCGCAGAGGGTAAAAAAACAGGTTACTTCCTGATTAAAACCAGGAAGTAATGACAACCAGGTGAGTGGGCGGAGCCTCGCACTGCCATCGCTACCGGTTCTCCGAACTACCCACTGCCATCATTACTGATTCGGCCGAACCGGACCAAACCGGTAGCATTTCACAGATCTTCTCTTTGATCCTATTTGGGGGTTCGGCAAAGATGATTCTTTTCGTGGTTTGATGGATTTCAGTTCCCCCCACCTCCTTGCATCAACCACCCAAGTGGTTTCTGCAAGTGCCAGACATCAAGAAGCAAGACGAGCTGACAGAAAAGTTATTTGTACACGCCCTGTGCTTTTCACACTTACCTGCTTCTTTGATCTCAGAAGTGAGAAGAGAACAATTGCCTCGTTCTTGGGATTTGATGGAGATGAAATATTATTTCACCTCACGATTGTAAGCCTCCTGTGTCTGTTTCTGTCTGTTCTCTTTCCAGGAAAATCTCACCAAGGAGAGAGAAAGCAGAACTAACTCCATAATATAAGACTACATGGTTGGGAATAGCTAACTGAAGCTCCTAAGAGTGATGTGCCTTACAGATTAACAGAGTTGGGACCGTGGAGGACATCTAGTCCAAACCCCTGCTTAAGCAGAATATTCTACCCCATTTCTGACAGAGGGCAGTCCAGTCTCTTCTTGAAGGCCTCCAGTGATGAAGCTCCCACAACTTCCAAAGGCAACTTCTGTTCCATGGGTAGATGGTTCTCACTGTTGTTTACCACCTCTTCAGCCAAGAGGTTGTAGAAAAAAATGCTTTGAAAAGCCTCTGATGATCCCAGCTGAGCCGCGCGATCATCAGAGGCTTTTTTTTTTTTTTACTTTTAAAAGCATTTTTTCGTTAGGCTGATCACAGGGCATGGATTTAGCTATTGGGGTCTCTTTATTTTGGCTTGGTAGATTGTGCAAATTCAGCCAAATGTGGTTTGTATGGACTGCACCAGTAGACCAAATTTCGTTGTATACATGATGTACAATGACAATAAAGGCTTTGAATTTACTCGTGGGGGGGGGGGAAACAACCCACCTCCTTCACAGCTTAAGAAATCCATGAGTTTGCACGATGTCACAAAGGTTTATTCTCAGATTATCTTAAAATCCTCTGAAGGTTTCCTTAGGACTAAAGAGTACTTAATTCAATGGGTCTAAGTTGATAGGCAACAAGGAACAGATCCAGCTGTGATCTGAAACACTTTCTGCCCACATGGCCTCAAGCAAGTACAATAACCCTTTATGTGAAAAGGATACAGCAATATTTCTAGTTCTGACTTGAGAACAAATGGAATGGAATGGAAGGGAAGGGAAGGGAAGGGAAGGGAAGGGAAGGGAAGGGAAGGGAAGGGAAGGGAAGAGAAGAGAAGAGAAGAGAAGAGAAGAGAAGAGAAGAGAAGAGAGAAGAGAAGAAGAAGAGAAGAGAGAAGAGAAGAGCCTTGGTGGCGCAGCAGACTAAAGCACTGTTTAATAACACTAGCTGCCTGCAATTACTGCAAGTTCAAATCTCACCAGGCTCAAGGTTGATTCAGCCTTCCATCCTTTCGAGGTAGGTAAAATGAGGACCCGGTTTGTGGGGGCAATAAGCTGACTTTGTATAAAAAAGAACACCGCTTAGGGTGGGGGGGGGCGAAAGCCCTACTAAGCAGGTATATACAAAAGTATGAAGGCTATTGCTTAACGCATTGTAAGCCGCCCTGAGTCTCCGGAGAAGGACGGCATATAAATCAAACCAATAAATAGAGAAGAGAAGAGAAGGAGAAGAGAAGAGAAGAGAAGAGAAGAGAAGAGAAGAGAAGAGAAGAGGAGTTAGAAGGGATCTTAGAGGTCTTCTAGTCCAACCCCCTGCTCAAGCAGGAAACCCTATACCATTTCAGACAAATGGTTGTCCAATCTCTTGTTAAAAACCTCCAGTGTAGAATGGAATGGACTGGAATGGAATGGAGTGGAGCGGAATCGAACGGAATGGAATGGAACAGAACAGAACAGAGTGGAGCAGAACACAACAGAACACAACAGAACAGAACACAACAGAACAGAACAGAACACAACACAACACAACACAACACAACAGAACACAACACAACACAACACAACACAACACAACACAACACAACACAACACAACAGAAAATAGAATTATATACTTTATTTGGCCAAATGTGATTAGACCCACTAGGACTCAATTGTCTCCATTATAGGAGCTCTCGGTGTTCTGATCTCTCTCTTTTCTTCTTCTTCTTCTTCTTTTTCTCTCTCTGTCTTTCTGGAAGAGTGAAAAGTTGAAAGTGATGACAGATGTCTGAATGCAAGGCAGAGCTCAGAAGCAGCTGTGCCTTCAGGTCAGGCGGAGTTTAAAAGAACAGAAATTCTTTTATGGCAAATTCAACATACCCATGAATGATGAATGTAATGTTTTGGCAATTAAACGTATGGATTGCTTAGGGACCAAAGGTGTAAAGAAGTTCAGGCTTGTGAAATATTTCTTAAGTAATTTCTGATTTATAAAATAAAGTTCAGATTTAGAGGTTGGCATTCTTACGATTGACTGATCCTTAGAAATAGGCCTTATGATGGGATAAGGATCTTACTGATCTCTAGACGTAGAAACTGGTGTAAAATTCTGATTTTTCAAAATTTGAAGGCATTAAACAGTTGATTCACCCAAGTTTTAGACTGGTCAGCTGCTCCGATTTGCATCGATATGTAAGTAAGCTGAATTTAAAATGTTGCTTAGGGCCGAGTCCTTAGAAAGACTGTGCTATCACTCAGATCAACCAGCCTACCGCTTAAGATCTGCCATGAAAGTGCTTCCTAGGTTGGTAGATCTGGAAATATAAAATGGTCAGGTTTGTGAAGAAGCCTGAACAAAGTTTCTTTCAATAGCAGAGACGTGCTGTGCTTGTACAAGATCCTAAGCCTTCTTTTAAATCAAGGTTTCTTCAGGCAGGAAGTTCTCTGTTCTCTTTAAAAAAAACAACATTCAAGGCAGATTTCTATTGTGGAGTTGTAAATCTTTCTTTAAATGGAAATGTAAGGTGGGTTCCTTGCTTTACTTGGAATATTGCATCCAGTTTTGGTCGCCACGATGTAATATTCTATTCTATTCTATTCTATTCTATTCTATTCTATTCTATTCTACTCTACTCTACTCTACTCTACTCTACTCTACTTGTTCTGTTCTATTCTATTCTATTCTACTCTACTCTACTCTACTCTACTCTACTCTACTCTACTCTACTCTACTCCACTCCACTCTACTCTACTCTGTTCTGAATTTTCAAAATGTCCACAGCTCTAAGTCCTCTTCATATCCAGTAGCTGAGCATGGTTTATACTGCACTGGTGATGCTGCATCCAATCGTGATCAACACAATACAGAAAAGATGTTGAGACCCTAGAAAGAGTGCAGAGAAGAGCAACAGAGATGATCAGGGATCTGGAAGCTAAACCCTATGATGAGTGATGGAGGGAATTGGAAGGTATGGCTAGTCTAACGAAGAGATGGACGAGGGGTGACGTAATACAAATCTTCAAGTACTTGAGATGCTGTCATAGAGAAGAAGGGATTGACCTAGTCTCCAAAGCACTGAAGGGCAGGACAAAAAGTAACAGGTGGAAGATCATTAAAAACAGAACCAACCTGGAACTAAGGAGAAATTTCCTGACAGTGAGAACAATCAATCAATGGAACATGTCTATGGAGATTCTCAGTCATCCAGGTCATGGTTGTCCCAAAGGTGCTTTTTCAAGAGGCAACTAGACTTTCCGATTTTACTTTGAAGACGTTTCTCTTCTCATCCAAGAAGCTTCTTCAGCTCTCTTAAGAAGCTTCTTGGATGAGAACTTTTGAAGAAACTCCTTGGATGAGAACTTCTGAAGAAGCTTCTTGGATGAGAACTTCTGAAGAAGCTCCTCGGATGAGAACTTCTGAAGAAGCTCCTCGGATGAGAACTTCTGAAGAAGCTTCTTGGATGAGAAGCGAAACATCTTCAAAGAAAAACCAGAAAGTCCAATTGTCTCTTGAAAAACCACCTTTGGCACAATCAGTGGAATAATTTGTGGGTGCTCCATCACTGGAGATTTTTAAGAAGAGATTGGACAACCATTTGTTCGGAATGGTACTATATTGTCTCCTGCTTGAGCAGAGAGTTGGACTAAAAGACCTCCAAGGTCCCTATTATTAGGGATCCGAAAATAATAACCCTATTATTTTGTGTTCTACATTTTTCTTCTGCTGCTTAGCCTGCAGTTGAAACTATGGGATCAAATTTCGGACAGAAGAAAATGGATGACAAATTTGGGGTGCCTATAATGTGCTGTTTTATAGGTGTTCCAATTATCTTCTTGGCAGTACAATAAACTCACCGCAAGGTGCCCCACGATGCAATACTTCTGAGGGCCCAACAGTCCACATGTAGACGAAGCAGTCAACTGTTGGCTGCGTCCCACAAGCAGATCTCCAACCAATGGGTGACAAGCTCCCTGCTGACAGCTATTCTGACTGCTCAGAAGATCTGGGAGTAGTACTGAATACAAAATAAAGAGGAAATTACGGTGTCAACTGTCCAGCTGGCAAATCCAGAAAAAAGATACTCCTGGGACGTTATTTTTACCAAGAGTATAAAACTTTATTGAATAAACCATCCTGACACAGAAGAAGCAAAACCAGCTCTGGGGTTTCCCGCACAAAAGCAAGCGTAGTTAATTCCTCCTTTTTCCTACGGGCCACCCACAGTCTAAAACATCCACCAATCACACTTCTTCGTTTTGTTATGGGAAATAGTCTGCAGGACCGGAGCGTCTGCTCGGTGTGTCCTTGGATGCCAGCAATGTCCCACGGGCGCCGACGGATGCTTGAGTACCATTCTCCCTTCCCTACATTCCATCCATCCCACCCCCCTTGTTATTGTGAAGCTGTGAGCGAAGAAAACATATAGGTAAAGTGCAAATCACACACTCGACACACAACTTGTTGCACAGATAACTTCAGATATCTTGACGCTAACTCTCAAATCATCTGGGAATATTGAACGTTATGTCCATCACCACCGCCAGAAAACGCTGAACAGGGGAAGGCTGTCTACTTGACGAAAGTTTAAGATGTCCAACCTTGCATTTTCTACGACTTTATATACTATATTTTCTTTATTAATTATATCATCCCTGGCTCAAGAAGGTCATTGCGTTTTAAGTTTCAACCTAGCCAAGGCAGGGAACACAAGGTGAGAGAGATGACAATGGAGACACCCCTGAGGTCAGGGGTGGGCTTCAAAAATTTTAGCAAGGGGTTCTCTGCCCGGTTGCTGGGTGGGCGTGGCCATGGTGGGCGTAGACTAGTCAGCCTCCTGCACCACAGTGGGGGGCTTTTTTGTCCTACCTGGGCTCTGGAGGCTTTCCTCAAGCCTCCGGGAGAGCAAAAATGGCCTCCCCAGGCTCCGGAGGCCCTCTGGAGGCCCGAACTTTCAGTAGGCCTGTTTTTCGCCTTCCCAGAGCCTCTGCGCACGCCCTGCACTTACCTGCATCCAAAACAGGCCACGTGGGGACACCTGGGAGGGGCGGGGTGGGGTGGGCGTGGCCAGCCAGGAGTGCGATTTGGGGGTTCTCCAAACTGCACAGAATCTTAGCTAGAGGTTCTCCCAAACCCTTGCGAACCCCCAGCAGCCCCACCCCTGCCTGAGGTGCTTTTCCGAAAGGCAAGTGGACTTCCTTTGTTTTTGCTTGAAGACGTTTCAAGCTAGGGAAGGAAAGGAAAGGAAAAGGGCCTTCTCCGTCATCACACCTGTCTTAAGGTACAGAATTCCCCACCCACCTAAGCTCCCGATGTGGGTGCTCCTGCCTGTCTTTAGAAATCTCCAAAAACTTGGTGTTTCCCCCCGGGCCTGTTTTTGGGAAGTGTTCAGCTCATCTTGATTGCTTTTGACTGGATAGAATTGTCCCCTGTGCATATTTTTCCCTTTGTCATTATGTCTTGGTTTTTAATCTTTCTGTGCTGCCTTGAATCCCATTTTATTTTATTTCTTTAAAAGGTTTTATAGTTGCCCATTTTCTTCTCCTCTTCCTCCTCTTCCTCCTCCTCCTCCTCTTCCTCCTCCTCCTCCTCCTCCTCCTCCTCCTCCTCCTCCTCCTCCTCCTCCTCCTCTTCTTCTTCTTCTTCTTCTTCTTCTTCTTCTTCTTCTTCTTCTTCTTCTTCTTCTTCTTCTTCTTCTTCTTCTTGGAGGAGGTGGTGGAGGAGGAGCAGGAGGACGAGGGGGAGGAGGAGGAGGAGGAGAAGAAGAGGAGGAGGAGGAGGAGGAGAAGGAGGTGACGAAGAACAAAGGAAGGAGGAGGAGGAGGAGAAGAAGAACAGGAAGAAGGAGGAGGAGGAGAACAGGAAGAAGAAGGAGGAGGAGAAGGAGGAGGAGATGAAGAAGAACAGGAAGAAGGAGGAGGAGGAGAACAGGAAGAAGAAGGAGGAGGAGAAGGAGAAGGAGAAGACAAAAAAGAACAACAGGAAGGAAGGGAGGAGGAGGAGGAGGAAGAGGAGAAGGAGGAGGAGATGAATAAGAAGAACAGGAAGGAGGAGGAGGAGGAGGAGAACAGGAAGAAGAAGGAGGAGGAGAAGACAAAAAAGAACAACAGGAAGGAAGGAAGGAGGAGGAGGAAGAGGAGAAGGAGATGATGAAGAAGAACAGGAAGAAGGAGGAGGAGGAGGAGAACAGGAAGAAGAAGGAGGAGGAGAAGGAGAAGGAGAAGACAAAAAAGAACAACAGGAAGGAAGGGAGGAAGAGGAGGAAGAGGAGAAGGAGGAGGAGATGAAGAAGAAGAACAGGAAGAAGGAGGAGGAGGAGGAGAACAGGAAGAAGAAGGAGGAGGAGAAGGAGAAGAAGAAGACAAAAAAGAACAACAGGAAGGAAGGAAGGAAGGAGGAGGAGGAAGAGGAGAAGGAGATGAAGAAGAAGAACAGGAAGAAGGAGGAGGAGGAGAACAGGAAGAAGAAGAAGGAGGAGAAGGAGAAGGAGAAGACAAAAAAGAACAACAGGAAGGAAGAGGAGGAGGAGGAGGAGGAGATGAAAAAGAACAACAGGAAGGAGGAGGAGGAGAAAATAATAATAAAACAATAAACAAATAGAAAATCTAGCAAAAAAAAACAAAACCCTCAATCCTGGCACCCAAAACACAAGTCCAGCCAAAACTCCAGGTGAGAGCACCCACTCATTTTTCTTGGCAGGCTTACAGGAGTTGCCTTGTTTTTGCCTTTGCTTGTTTCGTTTTGTTGTTTTACTTCCCACTCTATTCAAGAGCTTGGCACTACTACCTGTGCGTTTGCCACCCACTCGTTCAGCCCGCTTAAGCTCTGAGCCAGGTTGGGTTCCTGCCTCTTGTTGAGTTCCCGAAGCTTCTTTCTGGGATGAGAAGCGAAACGTTTCCAAGGAGAAAAACCAAGAAAAGCCCAGTTTTTTGGGTTTTTTTTAGAAAAGCTCCTTTGGGGACAACTCTTGTTGAGGTTCATATGCTGTGTATGCAAACCAGAATTCTGGGCTGCCGGATTTCAGTATGAAACTCTTGAAGAAGTGGTTTGGATGAAATTAAAAAGTTGACTAAAAGTATTTCACGATGACTCCAAAATAATAAGAACCAAGCTTTATGGCAAACATAGGCCTATTCCAGTGGTGGGTTCCTCCCGGTTCGGTCCGGTTCGGCCGAGCCGGTAGCGGTGACAATATTTTATTTATTTTTATTTTTATTTGATTTTTTATACCGCCCTTCTCCGGAGACTCAGGGCGGCTTACAATGCGTTAAGCAAAATATGATGTCACCGAACCGGTTCTCCCACCCCCCCCACCCCCCCCACGTTATTCTTACCTTTTATTTGGTCCCACCCCCAATCTATTGCTGCCTCCTGAGTCCCAGCTGATGACTAGAGGGGAAAAAAACTGTTTAAACTCTTGCCGCGGGTCTTCAAAGGGCCGCCCTACAGCTGATCAGTGTTAAAAGCAAACAAATGAGTCGGGTCGTAAGTGCGAGGACTGGTCGTAAGTGCGAGGACCTTCCAGAAATGACTCTGACCAGCTAGCCACGCCCACCTAGTCACATGACCTCCAAGCCACACCCACAAAATAAGCCACGCCCACAGAACCGGTAGTAGAAAAATTTAGAACCCACCCCTGGCCTATTCCCAAAGACCGAGGTCAGGGGTCTGTAACCTTAAACACTCAAAGAGCCATTTGGACCAGTTTCCCACAGAAAAGAAAACACCGGGAGCCACAAAAACCCTTCCTGTGCCTGACTGTTTCTTGAGCGGCCACAAAACTAGCATATGTAGTTCTGTTTTCTTCTGAAACTTTTCTTTTCTTGGATTTATCCATGGTTGGCCTAACCGGGGGTTGAAAAGCTCAATAAATCGCGTACCGGCGGGAGTCACACATTGGCGGCTGTGACACATATTTTGAGGGACAGGGAGCCGCAGCAGAGGGGTGAAAGAGCCACATGCGGCTCCAGAGCCGCAGGTTGCTGACTCCTGACCTAAGCATACAAATATGAATTGGCATTTGGAGTTGTGATCTAAGTTATGTCTTTTAATCAGATTTGTGGGTCCGAAGTTGTGCTGCCAGAATCCTCCTGATTATTATTATTATTTTGGTCATCATAGATTAACTCAACTCCTACAACGAGTTAGAGATGGGCAATTACATAGTATAGGGCAGGGGTGGGGCTGCTGGGGGTTCGCACGGGTTCGGGAGAACCTCTAGCTAAGATTCTGTGCAGTTCGGAGAACCCCCAAATCCCACTCCTGGCTGGCCTTGCCCACCCTGCCCCGCCCCTCCTAGGAGTCCCTACGCAGCCCGTTTTGGATGCAGGTAAGTGCAGGGTGTGTGCGGAGGTTCGGGGAGGACAAAAAACGGGCCTACCGGAAGATTGGGAAGGCCGGAAACGGGCTCGTTTCTGGCCTCCAGAGGGCCTCCGGAGCCTGGGGAGGCCGTTCTCGCCCTCCCGGAGGCTCGAAGAAAACCTCTGGAGCCTGGGTAGGGCAAAAAGCCCCTCCCTCGCCGCCGTGGGGCAGGAGGTTGACATGGCCACACCCACCATGGCCACGCCCACCCAGCAACTGGGTAGAGAACCCCTTGCTAAGAGTTTTGAATCCCACCTCTGGTATAGGGTGTGTAATGAAAGATGTACATCTGGCTAGACCTCAGGAACGCTCCAGTGGTGGGTTCCTCCCAGTTCGGCCCGGTTCTCCCGAGCCGGTAGCAGTGACGATATGACATCACCGAACTGGTTCTGTCCCCCCCATGCCCCTACCCCACCCCCTGCGCCCCACCCACCCACCCCCCGCGTTATTTTTACCTTTTATTTGGCCCCACCCCCAATCTATTGCTGCCTCCTGAGTCCCAGCTGATGGCTAGAGGGAAAAAAACTGTTTAAACTCTTGTCGTGGGGCTTCAAAGGGCCACCCTACAGCTGATCAGTGTTAAAAGAAAACAAATGAGTAGACCGGTGCCTGCAAAAATAAATGGGTAGATCAGTGCCTGCAAAAACAAACGGGTAGACCAGTGTCTGCAAAAATACATGAGTAGATCAGTGCCTGCAAAAATAAACGGGTAGACCAGTGCCTGCAAAAATACATGAGTAGATCAGTGCCTGCAAAAATAAATGGGCAGACCAGTGCCTGCAAAAATACATGAGTAGATCAGTGTCTGCAAAAATACATGAGTAGACCAGTGCCTGCAAAAATACATGAGTAGATCAGTGCCTGCAAAAATAAATGGGTAGACCAGTGCCTGCAAAAATACATGAGTAGATCAGTGCCTGCAAAAATACATGAGTAGACCAGTGCCTGCAAAAATAAATGGGTAGACCAGTGCCTGCAAAAAATAAATTGGTACAGCTCTGCAAGCAGTTAAAAGCCTGGTAGACCAGTACCTCTGCTAAATCCTAAATAATTGTCACATGACCATCAAGCCACGCCCACAAAATAAGCCACACCCACAGAACCGGTAGTAAAAAAATGTTAGAACCCACCCCTGGAAGGCTCGTAGCAGGTTTGCTACGTAAGGCATTCATAGTATCAACAGGTCGCCCACCAGTACAGTAGCTAAAATAAAATATATGGAATACGTTTGGGCATATTTGAGGTTGTTGAACTTACCAAAATTCAGAAGAGTTACCAATGGAAACCCCATCATGGCATGGGGGATGATCACTTGAATATGAGCCAAGCGGTGTGAGGCGGCAGCCCAAAAAAAGCTACTACAATCCTGAGTTGTATAAACAGAGGCATAGAATTAAGATCACATGACGTATTGGTATCGCTCTATAAAACCCTTAGTAAGACCACACCTGGAATACTGCAACCGATTTTAGTCACCATCTTACAAAAAAGATGTTGGAAAAAGTTCAGAGAAGAGCAACTAAGATGATCAAAGGCCTGGAGACTAGAACATATGAAAAGCGGCTGCAGGATTTGGGGTTTGGCTAGTCTAGGGAAAAGAAGAATTAGGGGCGAGATGATAGCAGGATTCCAGTATTTGAGGGGCGGACGCAAAGAAGAGGGGGTCAAATCTATTCTCCAAAGCACCAGAGGGCAGGACAAGAAACAAGGGTTGGAAACTAACCGAAGAGAGAAGCAACCTGGAATTAAGGAGAAACTTCCTAACAGTGAGGACAATTAACCAGTGGAACAGCTTGCCACCAGAAATTGTGGATGCTCCATCACCGGAGGTTTTTAAGAAGAAACTAGATAGCCACTTATCTGAAATAGTATAGGTTCTCCTGCTTGAGCAGGGGGGCTGGACTAGAAGACCTCCAAGGTCCCTTCCTATTCTATTCTATTCTATTCTATTCTATTCTATTCTATTCTACTCTACTCTTCTATCTTTTATTCTTCTCTACTCTACTCTATTCTATTCTATTCTATTCTATTCTATTCCATTCCATTATTCCATCTTTTATTCTACTCTACTCTTTCCATATTCTATTCTATTCTATTCTATTCTATTCTTCTATCTTTTATTCTACGCTACTCTACGCTACTCTATTCTTTTCCTTTTCCTATTCCTATTCCTATTCCTATTCTATTCTATTCTATTCTATTCTATTCTTACTCTACGCTACTCTATTCTATTCTATTCTATTCTATTCTATTCTATTCTATTCTATTCCATTCCATTCCATTCCATTCCATTCCATTCCATTATTCCATCTTTTATTCTACTCTACTCTTTCCATATTCTATTCTATTCTATTCTATTCTATTCTATTCTATTCTATTCTATTCTATTCTATTCTTCTATCTTTTATTCTACTCTACTCTACTCTACGCTACTCTACTCTACTCTACTCTATTCTATTCTATTCTATTCTATTCTATTCCATTCCATTCCATTATTCCATCTTTTATTCTACTCTACTCTTTCCATATTCTATTCCTATTCTATTCCTATTCTATTCTATTCTATTCTATTCTATTCTATTCTATTCTATTCTATTCTATTCTATTCTTCTATCTTTTATTCTACTCTACTCTACTCTACGCTACTCTACTCTACTCTACTCTACTCTACTCTATTCTATTCTATTCTATTCTATTCTATTCCATTCCATTCCATTCCATTATTCCATCTTTTATTCTACTCTACTCTTTCCATATTCTATTCCTATTCTATTCTATTCTATTCTATTCTATTCTATTCTATTCTATTCTATTCTATTCTATTCCATTCCATTATTCCATCTTTTATTCTACTCTACTCTTTCCATATTCTATTCCTATCTATTCTATTCTATTCTATTCTATTCTATTCTATTCTATATTCTATTCTTCTATCTTTTATTCTACTCTACTCTACGTTACTCTATTCCTATTCCTATTCCTATTCCTATTCCTATTCCTATTCCTATTCTATTCTATTCTATTCTATTCTATTCTATTCTATTCTATTCTATTCTATTCTATTCTATTCTATTCTATTCTTCTATCTTTTATTCTACTCTACTCTACTCTACGCTACTCTATTCTTTTCCTATTCCTATTCCTATTCCTATTCCTATTCCTATTCCTATTCCATTCCATTCCATTCCATTCCATTCTATTCTATTCTATTCTAGTTTTGCCTTGGCTTTTTTGAGCTTCAGGGAAGAAAAGAAAAATTCCTTTCATGTTAGCGCTCCCCAAGATCAGATTTTTGTTCCCCAAGATCAAAAATGATGTTTATTTTTGACTCAGTATGTTGAAAGAGAAAAAGAAAGAAACACCGATATTTCAAGCTCATATTCCATGAAAACGATTCCATTCTCACAAGGATTATCTGAGGAAATGTCCTAACAGAACTACAGTCCTGGAAATCTGTGTCTCGTGTAAACATCACTGTTAGTCATTTCTAAGTTTTATTGCTGTTTCGCTTATTTATAAATTATTAAATTGAGCGTGCCACAGTTATTTTTTTTTTAAAAAAAAACCCATCTGATGCATTAAAGAGATATACTAGAAATCATAAGGAAGTGAAAATCTCTCCAGGTATGTGCAAACGTGAGGCGATGAGAAAATAATTATGTGATTTTTTTATTAATACTCATCTTCCAAAGTCAATCGTTTAGAGAAGAAAATTTCCAGCTTTGTTTTGGTTTTGATATGGATATTGACGAGAGAGAGAAAATTTAATATCAAATGACATAAATCTTTTGCAATAGACTAGCTTTCTGTAAATTGATACCTTCCACGTACGTTGCACTAACTCCTAACATCTCCTGCTAGCGTGGTGCTTGGATTACAATAACTGAAGTCCCAAATTCTTTGGACTTCAGGAACTTACATCAGAACCGACGCGTCGTTGTTTCAGACCCAATGAGGGACATAAATCTTCAATTACTTTTGAAAGTTTGAGAGTTGAGCTTGAAATGATCGGTTTAATGTTTTTGGCAGAAGAGCAGAGAGAACATGGTTTCAAAACACGGTTTATGACAGCTCTGCGTATTACTGTTCTCAAGGGTTAAGGCAAGTTGTATCTCTAACAAATAAGACTTCTCAATGGATCAAGATTCCAAGATTTCCTTCCTTCCTTCTTTCCTTCCCACTTTTCCTCCCTCCCTCCCCTCCCCCCATTTCCTTTCTCTTCCTTTCTTCTTTTTCTTTACATTCCTTCCTTCCTTCCTTCCCATTTTTTCTCCCTTTCCTTTCTTTTTTTCCTTTCCTTTCCTCCACACTCTTTTCTTCCTTCCCTCCTTCCTTCCCACTTTTCCTCCCTCCCTCCCTTTCCTTTTTTCCTTTCCTTTACACTCCTTCCTTCCTTCCCACTTTTCCTCCCTCCCTTATCCTTTCCTTTCCTTTTTTCCTTTCCTTTCTTTCCTTCCTTTCCTCCACACTTTTTCCTTTCTTCCCTCCTTCCTTCCCACTTTTCCTCCCTCCCTTACCCTTTCCTTTCCTTTTTCCTTTCCTTTCTTTCTTTCCTTTCCTCCATACTCTTTCCTTCCTTCCCTCCTTCCTTCCCACTTTTCCTCCCTCCCTCACCCTTTCCTTTCCTTCCTTTCCTCCACACTCTTTCCTTCCTTCCCTCCTTCCTTCCCACTTTTTCTCCATCCCTCCCTCCCTCACCTTTTCCTTTTTTCCTTTCCTTTACACCCCTTCCTTCCTTCCCACTTTTTCTCCTTTCCTTACCCTTTCTTTTCCTTTCCTTTCCTTTCTTTTCCTTTCCTTCCTTCCTTCCTTCCTTTCCTTTCTTTCTTTCCTTTCCTCCACAGTCTTTCCTTCCTTCCTTCCCACTTTTCCTCCCTTCTTCCCATTTCCTTTCCTTTCTTTTCCTTTCTTTCCTTCCTTCCTTCCTTCCTTCCTTCCTTCCTTCCTTCTTTCTTTCTTTTCCTTTCCCCTTTTCTTTTTTGACCCAGCACAATGTAGATGTCCACCACAACTTTAGCAAGCGAAATCTATCAACTGTAAAAACGATTTATTACTCCACACCGTGAGCTAAGATTTACATTAAGATCTATGCTTACTGATACGTGGAACGCAGCAGAAGCAATGAAAAGATTGCCCAGGTATACGCAGCCATCATGCAGAGATCCCCAGACAGCCCTTATTGAAGAATTCCTGCTGTTGAAGAATTCCCAACCACCTAAACCGTCTTACCTGGCCTTCGAATTATAAGCGATTCTTGAAACACGACCAGCCAAGCGAAAACAGAGAATTAAAGTCGTACCTCCGAGTTGCAAGGTAACAATGTTTTCCCTTCAGGCACTTGGGTGTAGATGAAAACGAGTTTAAAATCTGCCAAAAAGATGATTTGTTAAGCATGAAATGCTGCCTGGTGCATTTATAGTTGCAACGGAACCTGACGTTTGCCAAAAAAAAACCCCTTGAGAGGCGAAATCCATAAAAATAAAGAGCCTTGGTAGTACGGTGGTCTAAAGCACCCTGTTATTAAGACCAGCTGCTTGCAATTACTGCAGGTTCGAATCTCGCCAGGCTCAAGGTTGACTCAGCCTTCCATCCTTTCTAAGGTAGGTAAATTGAGGACCCAGTTGTGGGGGCAATAAGCTGACTTTGTATAAATATACAAAAGTATAAAGGCTATTGCTTAACGCATTGTAAGCCGCCCTGAGTCTCCGGAGAAGGGCGGCATATAAATCAATTTTTTAAAAAAATGCATGTACTTCTCTCTGAGACAAATAGCACCAATCCATTTCTTGAATGGCAAAGGATATTATTCAATCAAGTTTGGTGCGGTTTACCTTGAGTTTGTATCTATTGTGTGCTCGTGTATTGTTGCGGTTGAAGCTGAAGTAGTCACTGACAGGTAGGACGTTATAGCAGATAATTTTATGTACTACGCTTAGGTCAGACCGAAGGCGGCGTAGTTCTAAGTTGTCTAAGCCCAAAATTTCAAGTCTGGTGGCATAAGGCATTCTCTTGCGAGCAGAGAAGTGGAGGACTCTTCTTGTGAAATATCAATTGTATTAATGTCCGATATGCAGTGCGGGTTCCAGACAGATGAGCTGTATTAGAGAATCGGTCTAGCAAAGGTTTTGTATGCTCTAGTTAGCAGTACAATATTACCAGAGAAGAAGCTACACAAAATTAGGTTAACAACCCTGGATGTCTTTTTGGCAATGTTGTTACAATGGGCTCTGGCACTTGAATCGTTAGAGATGAGTACTCCAAGGTCCTTGACAGAGTGAGGGTCGTCTACAAGGTCGTGTCCATCCAGCTTGTATTTTATGTTCTGATTATTATTTTTTTGCCAATATGTAAGACAGA